ATGCTATTTATTTTGAGTATCTGAGGAGTATTTCCTGCACTGGAGGGTAATGAAAAAAGAGACCAGAAAATTGTCCCTGTACAGTGGGAGAGGATGCAAAGCTGGGATGCTCCACTCACCATGTCTTGCCTCAAAGGACCTTCAAAGGCCACGCTTGTTTTATCCCAGTTCCTTTCCAAGGGCACAGAACTCAGCTCTCCTGGCTTTTTTTCACCAGGATAGCACAGAGTTTTTGCAAAGACATTTTCGTTGCTACCAAGAGATGGTTGAATTCCCCCATCCCATCACACCAGGAGATACAATCATTTCCTCAGCAACTTCCCATCTTCCTCCTCTCCCACAGCAGAGCCAATCTCCTCCTCCTCCCTTTTCTTTCACCTCCTCCTCTTTCTCCTCTTCCTTGAAAGACAAGGCACCAGCTGGCATTAAGAAAAAAAAAGCCCATTTCCTTCTCCCCTCCTCCCCACCAAAACATTCACAAGCTTCAATTTGCCTCGTGTTTTCCACCCCCAGTTTGGAGGAGCCTCTTGCTGGCCACGGGCACCTCACCTGCCCTGGGAGCTGGGACAGTCCCAGGAGCTGCTGATCCCTGGGCACAGAGGTTAATCCAGCTGGCACAAACCCATCAGATCCTCTCAGAATTTTATTACAACCTTTTTTCCACCCCCCCCCCTTCATTTCTTTTTACATCTCTCTCCCACTGATCCCTTAATCCTTGCCCTCAGCAGGTTGTTTATTTTTTTATCTAAACATCTCCTGCCATTGTTTAATATTCCCTTCCAAACATTTGGTTTCTCCTGCCCTTCCTTAGCACAAAACAGCCCAGGACCAAATCCCACTGCAGTCCTTTCAGTTTAACATCTGCTTATTTTACTCCAGTTGCTCTTCCACAAAGTATTTCTAAACAATCCAATATTTTGCTCCTCTAATGAACCCAGAGCTCACCGAGCCCTGCTTGAGGCATCTGAGTTTACTACAGGTTTAGAGATCACACCTTTCCAGAAGCACCAGCTCTTACACTACTGGAAATTAAAACTATTAACAGCTTTTTGGGTTATTTTGCCCTCAGGCTAAAGCAGGCTGCTGTTGCAAGGGAGTTATTCCTGAGCTATTGCTCTCTGCTTGTTCCTCCACAAGGACAGAGTTAAAAAAAATACTTTGCAATGCTGTAAGCTTAAAATATGTGAAAAAGGGAAAAATAACAAGTCTGAAACATTTGCAAGTGAAAACACATCATGCAATTCAAATTCCTTTAGAATTTACAAAGCAGAGAAGTTGTCAAGTGTCAGTCCAAATTTTTCCTTACAGTTCGTGTTTTTCCACCCTCCCTTTCAAACCTCCCCCCAGATTCCCAGTTCACGTGGCAGTGGGAGCACAGTGAGCATGGATCCCCCTCCAGCAGCACCAGCTCCCTCCTGGAGTGACCAAAAGGGGGAATTGTGGCTTCAGAGCCCTCACTGGTCCCCTCCACTTAAAGGACAAACTGCCCTTGGACGTGGTCACACTGGTTTGAGAGAGGATCTGTAATTTCAGGAAGCATAATCTGGGATAACAAGGTTTTACAGGGATCTAAGTAATTCCTGAAATCATATCTCCTGCAGTGCCAAGTCCCCTCCATCAATCTGTGTCAGCCCCTCGGCTCCCACTCCCATTAGGATTGTGGATTCAGTGGAGCTGCAGTGCTGCTGCCTCAGTGCTTGGCCCCCTGTCAGGCAGGAATCCTGGAAAAGCTGGAACACTGGCTGCTGTTGAATGGCTGAATGACACCCAGTGGCCAGGGCCACCTTGCTCTTCCTCTGCCACATCCCCTCCTCCTTCAGAACCGCTCCTGACAACCCAACAAACACCGGTACCGTCCAAATACTGAGAATCATGGAATCAGAGCCCATCCAGTGCCACCCCTGCCCTGGCCAGGGACACCTCCCACCAGCCCAGGGTGCTCCAAGCCCCGTCCAACCTGGCCTTGGACACTCCCAGGGCTGGGGCAGCCACAGCTTCTCTGGGCACCCTACTTTATAGGTTCCTTTAGCAAACCAAGGATCTCTGGGAGTGTTCACTCCTTTCCTCTGATTTTTCCAATTGATGAACACTAACCAGCAAAGATATAAAACCTTAAAACACTTCGGCCATCACCTTTTGGAACCTTTGCAGCCCTGCAAACACCATCTTCTGCTTTAGCACAGAGGAGCAGGTGGTGGTTGGGGCTGAGCTGTCACTGCAGAGGACACTGAACAGAGCTGGAGATGCCTGAGGAGCTGAGGGAGACCTTCAGGCAGAGTTTGGTGGTTTGCATGGACAGGCACAAAGAGTGAGCGCTCCAGAAAAGCCCTATGAGGCTGCAGAAGGGTGGAGATGCTGTGCAAGGCCTGGAGGAGTCGTGGGGTTTGAGGGGAAATCGCTGGAGGGGTGTTACTACTTTCCTGCATGAATACATTAACCTAGTTTCCAGGCAATTCCTGGATTTATACTTGGGAAAAAAAAATATTGTACTGCCTCTTCAGAACACACTCTGGAGGAGGGAAATGGGGTTTTCCATGTCAAGTAGGTCCCTTTTCAGTCACAGCCCTTTGGACACGCTTTAGCAGCATGTATACAAAATAAATATGATACAAAATAAATATGATACAAAATAAATATCTATACAAAATAAATATGTATACAAAATAAATATATATACCAAATAAACCCAGCGAGGCAGCTCCAAACTCATCCATCTACTCCTGATTAGTTCAGCAATACTGCCATCCCTGCATCACTTCAGATGCAAAGGAATGCCTTCCCTGCCTCCTGAATTCCACCTATTCTAAGAACTATTGAGCGACGCCCTGGGATTCAGCAGGATGTTTGTCAGCACATCGATTGGGCTTTGCCTGGCAGGGCACTTTGTGAGCAGCCAGTTCCTCCTGATCTTCCCTGTTCACCACACTGTGAATTCCCACCCAATTTCCAGCCCTGCTCTGTCCAGCCTGCTCCACAAGTCCCTGGACATCCAGCTCCCAGCCTGGATTTCCAGCAGGAGGCTTTGCAGCCAGGAATGCCCAGGGGCAGCTGGGCACCCCACTGCCTCCCCCACTGCACCCCCATCCCACCTGCAAGGGCCTGAAACCAGGAAACCTCCCTCACAATTCCAGTGCTAATTAATAACATTGATAAAACACACCAAAAACACCCAAAAGGGTGTCATGAGGAATTATTAGTCAGTCCCTGAGTGGGAACCAGCGTGATTGGCACAAAGAGATGGGGTAAATACCAGGACAACACATCACAAATACACTGGCCCTAAAAAAAAAAAACCTGCTACTTGAAGACAGTTGGGTAGAAGAAACCACTGCTTTCCTTCTTTTTCTTCAAACCAGTGGAAAGCATCACTCCATTAATACCAGATCAGCTGCAAAAGGTAATTTAGAAGCAGCTAATTACCAAACTTTGGGTCAACCTGCTGTGTGTGAGCAGCTGGATGAAGGTTGTAGTTCTGTGCCTGCAGGTTCCAGACCTCAGCTCTAAACGTGTTCTTCAGAGTCCTTGAAAAATTCATTCTCTTCACAGCTCTCCTCATTATTTATTAATTACTGTTATTGTGAATTCTGGATCACCATCATTTCCTCACTCAGGACTATAATTTTTCCCTCTCTCTCTTATAAAAACAGAGCCAGGAAGCCAAGTACCTGCCCCCAGGGTTTGAGTGTTCCCCCTTTGGAGAGCAGGATGGGGAGCCCCTTCTGCTCCAGGCTGGAGACGAGGGAAGGGCAGTAGAATAAGAAAACTTCCCTGTCATAGATCCAGTTTTATGTCTGGCCACCAGAAGTTTCCTCCAAGCCAGGAGGAGCCCTCTCTGTGCCCAGGTTTCCCCCATGTGAGGTACTTACATGGACCCAGCAGTGATTTATGGGAGATCCTCCAGGCCCTCAATGCTTTCCCTTTGGAAACTCCTGCCAGGAACATTCTGCATCCGTGTCCCAGAGCTGGCCTGGTGTCTGTAACTCCCTGATCCTCCCAGCAGCTCCTTTGGCAGCTTGTGCCAATTAGGGGCACGGGAATTCATCCCAATAACTGCCTTCATTACGGGAACAAGTTCTGACATGGAGGTGCAGCTCCAAACTCCTCTCTTCCCGAAGAGATCACCCAGATGGTTTCCCCCTCCTTGTGAAAGGGTTGGTTTTTCAACACCAGCTGCCTTGAGAGGAGGGGGAATCATCTCCTAATTACTGCTCAGCTGGCTGAGAGCACATTCTTGGAGCAGAAGGTATTAGATGGAGTTTTCTTACACCAAACCCAGCCAGAAAAAAAAGGAGTCCCAAAACCACCGCTGTTTTCCTTAATGTGAGGAAAATCTGTATTACAGAAAACACTCCAGCTGGGAGCCTGACTCTTCCCCCATTTTACACCATCTTGCAAGAAAAACCTGCATAAAAACCACTCAGGAGTCCAGAGTCTGTTTTTGTAGGAGGTGAATCACACACCCCCTCCAAGAATAAAGTGACAATTCCTTCATGTTTCTGACTTATGGATTAGAAAACCCTTCTCAGCAGCACTGATCAATGGCAACTTCAAAGAGAAACACGGCCCATCTATTACATTTTCTCCCAATTACATCCTTCTGCTGAGAATTGCATTTTAGCTGCCTTCCAGCCTTCAAGAAAAGAGGGAGCAGGATTTAAAAAAAAAAATAATAAAAAAAAAAGCTTATAAGAGATTTTTCCCTTTTGTTGAATCTAAACACCCCAGAGCTCGTTAAGCTGGGAGTAAATTCTGAACTGCTGGTGCAGGTGGGACCAGTTTCATGGTCTTTGCCAAATAATCGTAATTTTCTTTTCACTTTGTGGCCAAAGAAATGAAAGGAAAAAGGCATTAAAATGTATTTTGGGGTTGTTCCACCCTCCAAAAAAAGTTTTGTTGCCTAAACATTTGAAAAACTTATTTCAGTGACTCAGTATTTTTTATCCAGCCCAGTTAGTTCCTACAGTCCTTTAAAGCCTCCAAGATGTGTTTTTTTCCCAAACCTTCAAGCAAAAGGGGATGTCCAGTGAATGCTCTGGTCCTGCATCTTCCTAGAGGTAAAAGGAGCAGATTCCTCATGGCACCAGCAGGGAGAACAGGTGAGTGACAGTGGCTGATTATTAATGCTTTTGATTCAAAAATCGTTCCATTTAAAGGAATAAAGCTGTGGTTGAAGCTCCTGCAAGGCAGAGTGGTTTGCCCAGTTGAAAAGCTGTATCACATCAAGGATGGCTGGGTTTGAATTGTGCTTTGGCCATTAAAGTCACCCCCTTTTAGTGACACTTTCCCCTGGGAAAAGTCAGAGCACAAAGTGTGAGCATTTCACATAACTAATTTAAACATAATTCTATATTTTAAGAAAACTGGTTAGCTGCCAACAATAAAGCTGCTTTGTTACAATCTAGATTTGATTTTCATGAAGATAATAGCTTAGGTTTGCACATGCAAAGGCCGTGGTGGGATGTGCAGGGCTGAGCTGGGGGAACTCCTGAGCAGCCCTGGAGACAGAGACCTCCCAGGAAAACTTCCAGAGTGCTGCTCTCCCTGATCCAGCCATTTCTCAGCCTTGGGAAAAGGGCATTTTTCTTCCAGAGCCCATTATTTGGATAAATGGAGCGTGGCAGGGCAGGGCAGCAGGTCCAGGCAGCTGAGGAAAGGCAGGACAGGGCTCTGCAAAGGCAGCTCACCCAAGAGCTCTCCCCAGGAGAGAAAGCTGATTTGGTCACTTGGTTCTTTACATTCCACCAGCCCAAGTCCTGCTGGATATTTGTCATTGCACAAAGCATTTTCCTGCTCCTTCTGAAATATTCTTTATGTGGAAACTGCTGCTGAGGCACCACAGACGTGTGTTTGTGTTCCAGCAGGGCTGGAGCAGCCCCATGCCCACATGGTCCATGTGTTGTACTCCTGAGTTCCTGCCAGCAAACAGGGAGGAGGGGAGAGCCTGCCAGCCCCCCCCTGCCTGTGTTTTGGGGGAGCAGAAGCCTCTGAGGGTGTTTGGGGGTGCCAACCTGCCCGGGGTGCCAGAGCTGCTGACGCTGCAGCTGCAGCTCGTGGCTCCTGGGGAGGTTCCTCTGCTCTGTGGGCACAACCAGAGACCCTCAGCACCCAAAGAAGTGCAGCAAAGCTCCAAGTCTAAAAGCAGAGCCCTGGAGCAGCATTCCCTGGGATGTTGAGGATGCTCAGCCTTCGTGCTGATGCCTCCTGCAATGCCTGGTTTACACCCTTCCCTCCGAATCTGCCTCTAAAACACGATGTTCTCTTGTAATTCTCAGCTGGGAAAATCCCCCCCTTGCCCAGCTCTGGCTGCTTTTCACATCAAAGCAGCCTCATGCTCAGGTTTAACTTCCTGACATCTCTCTCTTCAGCTTGGCAGGTAAAACTGCATCAAACAGTGGGTTAAAAAATTGGTCTGGGGGGGGCCACTAGGCTGCAAGAATCATCACTTCGAGTTCTTACCACTGACAAATATTTCAGGTGGTTTAATCTCGAGCCCTGTTAACGCTGACTATGACAAGGGGCTGAGAAGAACTGCCTTCCCTGTCCCCAGGTGCATCCCCCGTGGCTCCTGCAGAGTAATGAGGTGCTGGGAGTTTGTAACACGTTGTTTCCTGACTGTTCAGGGCTATAATTGTCCATCCTGGGCACAGTGAGCCTGCACACACTGAATTTTTTTACCTGTCACTTCCCATAACAGGTCCCAGGTTTGGGACATTTTTCTAACAGCAAACAGGGCTTGTCAAGGAAATAAATGTTTACAGGGCACGTTGGATTTATCACTGGAGTCAGTCAGGTGGGGCTGGGGAAGAACAGCAGTGGGAGTTACCTACAGCCATGGCAGGTTGATGGATCCTCCTCCCCACAGCGCCTGAGACGGCCCTTCTGGCAGGGGGGCCCTCTGGAATGTCAGCTCACCTGGAGGGATGTGGAAGGAGAAGCAACTTCAGGAGTCCAGAGGCCAAATGTCAGCAGGGCTGGGGGTTTTGGTCACTCCAAGATGCCCCTTATTTAGAAGGCAGAGCTACATTGTTGGTCACACCCATTCCCAGTTCCCAGGCTGATCCCTTGCAGTGACACCAGTGGGTCTGTCCTTTAATCCCTGCAGATACACAACTCCCACTGCTGCCAGCACAGGGTTTGCATTCTTGCAAAATCAGCTTTTTTTTTTTTTTTTACAGTAAAATCACACACTCAAGCTTCAGAGGGAACTGGGGGGCAAAACCACAGTGAAAATCCCAGGCAAGTCTCCTTTTTGACCTCAGCAAAGATCTAAGAAAATGCTGCAGAGCAGGGAGAGGATCCTTGCTTGGGGACAATGTGTATAAAAATATCTGCATACAAACACTCTCCTTTAAAAAGAATCAAGGGTCATGTGTGAACTGAAAACAAAGATTTCCTACATGCCCACGTTGCAATCCCACACACAGACACAAGCCTTCTGAATTTGGGTTCTAAGCATTGAACAGGAAACGTTTATATTCCTGCATCTTCTATAAAATTTGTTTTAAAATGAGAAAAGAAAGCTGGAGAGGGACTTTGGACAAGGACCTGTAGTGATAGAATGGGGGGTAACAGCTTTAAACTGCCAGAGGGCAGGGATAGATGGGATATTGGGAAGGAATCCTTCCCTGGGAGGGTGGGCAGGCCCTGGCACAGGGTGCCCAGAGAAGCTGTGGCTGCCCCATCCCTGGGAGTGTCCAAGGCCAGGTTGGACGGGGCTTGGAGCACCCTGGGCTGGTGGAAGGTGTCCCTGCCCATGGCAGGGGGTGGAAATAGATAATATTTAATGTCCCTTCCAACCCAAACCAGCTGTGATTCCATGATTTAAACATCTGTTTAAACCCTGACCATGCAGAACCAGCTCCATGCAAGTAAACCCAGTTCCCTGCAGGCTGGGCCAGGATGAGCTCCAGGTCAGCTGAGGTAGCACCACTTGACTCTCCTCAGCCAGCCCTGGAGAGCAGGACTGAGCAGCTCATTAATCCAGGTTCTCAATTCCCTGGCAGTGCCTGCTTTCCCTGCAGGAGGAGGACGTGGCTCTCCCAGCCCCGTTGATAGATGGGACCCTCGGGGTGTTTTCCTCACGTGTCCACAGCCCAACTTCTCCTTCTCTGGAGCCATCCCAAAATCTGAGCTGCAGTGGCCTCCTGGCACTGCCTTCTGGGGGCAGGGGCCCATCCAGCAGCATCCCTGCCCCTCTGGAAGCTGCAGGGATATTGCCATGCCCTCCCAGTGCCACCCTGGGATGCCTCAGGGAGCAGGGCCACACACCTGGCAGCTCCCCAGGAGAGCAGGAAATTGCTTTTCCCTTCTATATTTTTGTACTTACCGAGATATAACCTTATTCTCGGGGACAAAAATTCTCTTACTCCATGAATCACTCCTGTGGGTAGAAAAAAAACACACTTTTTTTTTTTTTTTTCCCCAAAAATAAACCACCCTCACAAAAATTCACGAGTTGATCAAATTTTTTTGAGGGCCTGCAAAATTCTTGAATTTAACTTGACTTAGGGCTCAGCTTTGCTGCTGCAGTTTCTCAGCCCTGGTGGGAGCTGGAGATATCCGAGTGTGGAACACAGATATTCTCAGATTTATTGGTGGCCTGACAGTGATTGTGTAGCCCATTGAGATGGAGGGCTGTGATTTAGTGTTTTGGAGGCATTTGTCATGTTTGATGAATGAATCTGGTGATTCAGGCAATGAAAGTGGGAGCTTTCCAGCCAGGGGGGGAGATAAAGGATGCTGCTGATACACAGGGTTATGGCAGGGGCTATGGAAGGTTCTAAAATTTTTATTTGGTTCTCATTTAGAGTTTTAGAGGAAGATGGGAAGGAAGATACACTTCAGCTGGCCCTGCACTGAGCAGAGTGGTGCAGCTGGAGAGGCTGTGCAGAGGGTGTGTGTTCCAACACTTTGCCAACACTTACTTGGAAACTCCTATTTGGGCTTTCTGGTTTCTTCCCTGTCCTCACTTTCCTGCTCATCCCATCCCTGAAGGTGCATCTGGGGAGAGCTTGTGGATATCTGCAGGTTTCTCCAGCATTCACAGTCCTGCAGAAGGACAGAGACAAACTGATTTCTCTCATTTCCCTGCTGTAGAGCACACTGAGCTTCGATGCAAAGCCAGCTGGAAATTGCCATTAGATGGGTCCAAAATGTGGGCATTTTCTTAGACAAAAGGAGTTAATTTTTGAGTTAAAATTCCAAGCAATTCACATCCCATTTGGGTCTAAAGTTCACGGGTATTTTCTTACAGGTTCTTATGAAAACAAGGTATTTTCAGGTGTCTTTTATATTTACACAAACCCCAGAATCCCAGAATGGTTTGGGTTGGGAGGGACCTTAAAGCCCATCCAGTGCCACCCCATGCCCTGGGTAGGGACACCTTCCACTACCCCAGGCTGCTCCAACCTGTGCCAGGGCCTCCAGGAAAAGATTTACCATAACTGAATAAGGTGTGAAAGGCCAGGCAGAGAGAACTCAGGTTAGAGGCTGGTTTTCAGGAAAGAGGAAGGAAATTTTAGGACACTGTTGCTTCAAGAGCAATGAAGAACAAGGCTTAGTTCACTATTGGATATTCCTGAGTCAATGAAGATGTGCCAGTGCTGGTCCATCTTCCTGAAATATTTTAACCTCCAGCCTTCAGATGGAAATACTCCACATTAACTGACATATATATATAACTATATATACATATTACCTTATGTTATTTAAGGTTTGCAAGGAAAATATGTTCCACTCATACTCAAAAGCAAACCCATCTTCTGCTGTTGTGAGCTGAATCCAAAAGCTCAGCTCTCACTTAACAAAACCAGCCTTAGCTTTGCTGGAGCATCAATCCATTTAGTGGTACTTAGGAGGAATAAATTGATTTTCTCATTGCTCTGTGTTGGCTAAAAATTATTCGATTATGTATTTAGCTGCTAATGGAAACTCATTAGGAGATTTTCATTTCATGCTTGTTTGCACCTGCAATCCATTTCTCCTTGTCCAAAGCACTGTTTCATTTCGGTCGCAGCCATAAATTTCCTCCCCTATAAACTGATCAGCGTCAGCCAAAATTTGGTCTGAGCCAGCTCAGGGCCATCTTTTCACGGTGGCATCATCAGGGAGCAGATCTCTGGTGATTCAGGGGTTGTTACTGGGCACAGTGATGGCCCAACTTGCCTCATGCTTCACTTGCTCAGTTTGTCACCTCTGTTAGTGCCACTTCTCCGTTGGCTTTTGTGCTCTCCCCCAGAGCCCATCTTTTGGAAGCCAAAGATGGGCCATTCCAGACTTCAGGCATGGATTTGGGATGCCAGGAGGGAGGGAGCCCTTCCCTTGCCCGTTCAGGCCATTCCACCCTCATCTCAGGTTTGAACCACCTGGTTTTGTGGGGGATGCAAATTCCCTCCCAGTGTCTCTCTGGCACCTCCTGGCAGCAAATCCTCCAGCTCTGCTTGGTGACTCCGTTGCTTGAATCCCAAGGACATCTTGGAATTGTGGATGGCAGTGAGGACCAAGTTGTGTGCACACCCAGTTATCTGAGGGCATCACATGGTGTTTTGGCCACAACCAAACCAGGACACTGAGCCCTTTCTGAAGAGAAGGGTTGAGCCAGACACTGATTGAAGAGTGACTTACAAAAATCACACAATCCCAGGATCCCTGAGGTTGGACAAGCCCTCCCAGCCCATGGATCCCCCCTGTGCCCCATCCCCACTCTGTCCCCAGCCCAGAGCACTGAGTGCCACGGCCAGACCTGCCTTGGACACCTCCAGGGCTGGGCACTCCAAACCTCCCTGGGCAGCCCCTGCCAAGGCCTGACCACCCTTTCCAGGCAGAAATTCTTTCTGAAATCAGTCCCTCTATCAGGCTAACATAGCATTAACATCAGTGCAGTCCTATTTTTAGCTGTTCTCAATTTTTAAACCATCATCTACACCACTATTAACCCAGTTCAGCTGCACTTCACTTGATTCATGCTACGTGTTTCGTGGCTGTTGTTCTGCACCCAGAGCTCGAAAATCAGGTGGAAGCAACTCCTGCAATAGAAGGAGGTTTATTTGAATTTTGTTTCCCCCTTTACAAGGTGGGGAAGCAGCACCCTGAGCTGCACCCCTGGGTGTCCATGGAAAGGCTCCTGCTGGGAGGAACCAGAAGGGAGGAGGGCAGAGATCAGAGGTGCAGGAGTAGCAGAGGACCAGAACTTTCACACTGGAGGCTGCTGGGCACTTCAATATGGGGGAAAATCCAGGTTAGTGAAGCGGAATCTGATCAGAATAATTATGTACTTTTTGTTTCCAGAGAAAGAAATTAATAATTTGTCCGACTTCAGCAGAATTCTCTGAATTGATCTGAATATGAGAACTGACTCTCTTGGTGCTCTGCACTAATCCAGCCCCCACACAGAAAAATGCATTTGCTGTAAAAATACCAATATTTTATCAAGGAGCTTAACCCACCAGGGCCTGCCTGCAGTCCCCACCGAGCAGCGAGAGCAGGAGCAGCTCTGGATGTGCTTGTTAAGTGGGCTGATCAATACAAATCTATTTCTCAATTAAGCAGAAGATCCTGGTCTATGTGTGTGTTGCCTGCAGGCCAAAATAGTTCTGAGCAAAACCGGATTCCAGAATACAAAGTTGTGCTGGTCTTGCTCTGTGTTTTAAATGAGCTTTACCAGCATGCAACTGCAATCCCTGTGAACTCTGCAGATTAAATTTCCTTGCAGTAATGACCACTAGGAATTAGTGAAATGTTAATCTTCCCTCCTGCTGTGTATGATTATACATGAGTCTAATCAACCTGATTACAAAAGAAAGTAATTTCTGCTTTTACAGGGATTTTTTGTTGTTGTTGTTGTCTGCTTTAGTTCTTCCTGAGGAACTGTGAAATTCCTGACCCTGTAGTTTAAAGCAAAAATCACAATTAAATCAAAATGTGTAAAGGGGAGCAATGGAGGCTGAAGAGTAATTGCTTTACAACAGATACAGTAATTGATGCTCTGAGGATTTATTTCAAAGCAGAGAAGTGAATTAGGAACCTGCTTTATCTGGATTTGATGAAGTCACTGCTGTCTTTGTGTCTCGCTTTTCGGCTAAACTGTTCTTAATGAGAATGCTAATAATTACAGCAGGATAAATTGTTTTAGGGACACAGGAGGATGAAAGACATATTTTGATTTCATTTCAAAACAGCTACAGCCACAGCCACCTTTCTGCTCCAACCCTGAGACACGTTTTTGGGAGCAGGAGGAAAAGCAGCTCCTCAGTGCACTGGTGGGAGATTATAAAGCCAAGCTAAAAAGCCACATCTCATTGTGTTCCTTGTGTAAAATCTTTGTTTGATTCCACATGTCCACTACAAAAACAGAGGGGAAAGTTAAGGCTGGGCCTGCAGACCTTTGGCACAGGTGCTGCAGTGCAGAGATGCTTCCCAAGTCTGAAAACCAGGGAAATCAGTGGATAGAAACCTGAAAACACAGGGAATGGAGAGGGAGCCACAGCAAATGTTCTCCTGCTTTGGTCATCAGTCAAAGCCAGAGTTTTCTCAGCAGCCACAAACCCCAGAACACCTGAACTCCAGCCCAGCCCAGTGACAGCCACCCCCTGCTTGTCCACCTTGAATAATCCCTGGATTAAAAATCACAATATCAACCCCCCTGATCCAACATATTACTGTTAGTCATCCAAACCCACTCCAGATCCAGGGAGCATCATTCCCCAGGCAGCTTTAATACACCCAGAGAAATATGATGGCAGTTCTGACCCTGGTGTTTCCCAGCAGTGCCTGGCTGGGGGATCTCCATGGTGACAGTGTTCCATCCCTGAGTTACCTGCATGGTAATTTCCATCCTTTCATCTCATCTTCACTTTTCATCTCCAGCTCTGAGTGCCTTGGGGTTCTAATGGAGAGGAGCTGACAAACCTCCTCATGCTCCTACGAGGAGAAGTAAATTTTTTTCATATACACTCCTGCCACTTAATTCACTGTCACAGTTTTTGTAGGGAGAGCTGCCTGTGGAAGTTGGGAAGTTGCCTTCAAACACACAACCAGCTTTAAACGGGGCTAGAGAAGGGGTAAAACATACCTTGCTAAAGTACATTCTCCAAAATCTCCTAAAAAAAAGCCCCTTTCCCCAAACCTGTGCCTGGGGCAGTCCCAGCTCCCCCACTCTCCCAGTTCTTCCCATCCCTGCTTCTCCCAGGGCAGAATTCCCACTGGAGAGCCCCCAGATGACCTCAGCTCTTCCTCATTTCTGTCTGAGGCACAGAAAATGAACGTGGCTGGACTGAGGCCTTTATGAATGTGTAAGATCTTTACCCAGTCTGGAGTCTGAAGTCAAACTCCACTGAGCCCTCAGATGATCTGCCACCTTCAGCAGGAATGACAAGCCTGGATTTTGGAGCCGCTCACCCTGCTGGAGTTCCCTGGACTTGTCTCCCTCTCAGCTCCTGCTCTCCAGCTCTGGGCTCCTGGTTAGAAAATCTGGACATTTGTCAGCTCATTGAAACCCTCAGTACCTGAAACAAGGTGGGTTCTCTCATGCTTTGAGTTGTACAGAATATCCTTGGCAGCTGAACCACAGGTTGGGAAGGGAATTGTGGAGGTGGGAGAACCAATATCCCAACTGGGCATCCAGAACGCTCAGCAACGTGAACGTCATTCACCTGGCAAAGCAGCAATAAAAGCAATTAAAAGCACGTGTTCTCAGCTATAAAACTGCTCTCAAACCTTCCCCAAGCCTGTCCTGAGGGCAGGGGAAGGCCAGGCTTGGTCTGTCCAGCCCCAAGGAGATCACAGACTGAGTGCTGTGCAACCGATGGCATTTTTGGGTTTTAATCTCCCTCTTCCCAGAGAAATAAGTACAATAGACCATTAGAGCTGCTGTTCACAGCACTCTGCAGTCCCTTCTCCCCCTCCCCGAGCAGTCCATGTTATCTAACACTTGGGAGGGGGTTTAAAAGGATCTCTTCATCTCATTTCATGCATTAGTGCTAAGTTTAGCTCCTGTAGGTAACAGTTTCTGTTTGAACTCTAATAAAGAGGTATGTTTAGAATCTCAGGGGCACACTCTGCTCATTTGAAACAAATGAGGATTATATAAGGAGGAACATGAGCTACAAATAGGATTCATAAAATTAATTGGCTCTCAGCTGCAGCTGAGCAGAGCCATTAAAAGGGACGAGTGGCCCGAGCGTGTCCGTCCCCCTCGGGTCCCCCTGGAGAGTCCTCAGGCTCCTGCAGGACTCAGGGATCCTGGCACCACTGCTGCAGTCCCAAAGGCTCTCCCAGAGCTCCACATCGTCCCCATGTGTTCATTTACGTGCTGCCACAGCAGCTCTGCCTCCCAAAAGAACCAGGGACGCTGCACACAAAGCCTGGAGCAGCTCAGGGAGGTTCTGACACTGCAAAGAACCTCCACATCAGTTCTGATGAACCCCCAAATCCCAGCTCTGCTTGGACATTCCAAAAAAAAAAAAGTGAAAAAACCCCACTGTATTTGGCTCCAAATGTGAGCCCAGTTGCCAGAATTCCTGTGCCCAAACCCAGGGCTGCCTGTGCTGTGCCCCCTCTGCCCCACTGGCTGTTTCTGGTCCAACAAACAATATTCTATATATTGGTCTTATCAAATATCAGGCTGCTAAATCCAGCTGAGGAAATTCCTGGGATTCCTTGCAGGAGCCTGTCTGCTCCCCTCCCCTGGGACACTGCAGCCCTGGGACAGGGCAGTGCTGGGGCTCCTCCTCATTTAGCACCAGCAGCTCCTTACAGCTGCCACCCTTCAATGAGCAGAACCTTCAGCTGAGCCCCCCTAAATGCATTTAAAACACCATATATATATATATATATAAATCTCCTAAAATAGCTGCCAGAGCTCCCTTTAGTCACAAAGCCCCGAGCTGGCTGTGCTGAATTCAGATGCTCATCCCACCAGTTCCCACCACAAAGCTCGACTTGAGCCGGGCTCTGAGTGCCCTTTCATTGCAAAGCACTAAAAACTCTTCCAAAGCAGTGCCATGGAAACAGGAAACGAGGAAAAGGCCTCAAGAAGATGCTGCAGGAGCTGGAGCCCCACTCCTGGCTTGGCAGAGCAGCAGGACCCCTGAGCAGTCCTTGCCAGAGCTCGGAACAGGAGCCCTGGATGAGCTTCCCTGGGTGTGTGTCCCGAGCATCTCAGATGAGATCTGGGGAGTCTGCACTCAGAGAGTCCACAATCAAACAGGAATTCAAATAAATGGGAGTCAAGCTTCTCTTGCACCTAATCAATACCAGGAATATTACAAAATCCCTTTATCTTTGCCTTTCCTTCCTTCTCTGAAGACTTCATCCTAAGCAAGGCTGTGGCTCATTAATAGCTACTGAAATTATCCCAAATTTCTCAGCTGTTTTACAAACCATCATTGACGTTTTAGTCAAAGGCATCATCAGCCAGGATAAAACAGAGCTGGTGACAGTGTCCTTGGGTGATGAAGATATCAAATGGTTACTGATGAAACAGGGAAAAAACATTTTTCTCCCCATTTTTCTGTACCCCCAACACAGTCCTCTGACAATTTTTGAGAGCTCGTGAGGGGAGGCTGAGGTTCCTCCTCTTTTAGCTAAAATAACTTGAAAGATCCACCCCAAACCAAAAAAAAAAAAAAAAACCAAACCCTCGTGTAACACTGGCATTTCTCAGCACGTGGTAATTACCAAGCCCCAAACATCTGTTATTTCTTCCCCAGTGAGTCACATCTCCTCTGGTGCCACCAGCACCAACATGAACAGCAGGAGCTCTGAGGAACCTCCGGGCCAAAACGAAGCAACAAGGCCTGCCCAGCGAGAAGGGAGGACCCCAGGGTGGGCCTGATGATCTTGGAGGTCTTTCCCAGCCCTGCTGATTCTGTGGCTGACAGCACAAATGTCCTCAAACCCTGGCAGGATCCAGCTGAGCCACGATGCTGAATGTGCTGCTCAGCACGTTAACCCGTGGTTTTAATTTCCTCACAGCAGCAAACGAGCCCGGGAGCTGCCTGGGACAAACCCTCCATCCACGGAAACTCCTCTCACAGCTATTTTTGAGGGCTCTCCCTCTGTTCCTAAACACTACACGGTGCCTGGAAGAGCCACCCACTCCTCCTGGGCTCTGTGTGGCTGTTCACCCCCAGATCTGGGAGCAGTGCTGATCACTCAGTGCCTTTTTCCAAAGAAATGGGAGGTTTGTGTGTTTTCCACTTTATCCCCCAGCAAGAGCTAAGATTAAAACTCCCCTCTAGATCTCCCTGTGCCTGGGAGTCCTGCAGCTCTCCAGACGTGGGTTCTATTTAAAGGGAAGGAAAGGAATGCTTTCCCTGTGGATAATGAACTATTCTCAGGCCTCACCTGCTCCTCCAGCCCACCCTCCCACGCCAGAAGGAGCTGAGGGGGGAGCTGCTGGCAGATCTCTGTGTAAGTGGATAACAGACACCACCACCATTCCTGGAGGAAAAGGGAGCTGGGACAAACCAGAGTGGCACCAGCTTCTGCTGCTGGGAATCACACTGTCACTCCCACTCCATGCAACTCAGTTCACAGTTGTTAAAACAGGCATTTACTTGTGTACCTGCTTTAATAAAATCAGCCCAAATCGGCCCTGTAGTAGAAATATTTTCATATCTACGTTTTTCAGTCTTAGTGCAAACATATTATTTTTGGCAGGCATTGCAAAAGACAAAGGGATTAATGTTGTGATGCTTTATATAATGCCATATCTGGGGGGAAAAAAAAAAGCTCTGTGTCAGTGTAAAAACACACAGTTTAACACTGAATTTATGGAAGTCTCGCAGAACATCCAACCTTTTCCCTGAAGCATCAAAATCCTGTCACACCAATGGCCATCACATGGAGTATTATATCACTTTATGGACCTTAGACTTCAAGGAAAATAAATTAAAAACTCATTTTTGGAACGACAAGAGTTGGAGAGTCCTCAAGATGTTATTGGAACGTGGCCATCCTTGAGGGATGTCAACAGAAATCACAGTCCATCAAAGCTGAGTTCAGACTAAGTGAGATGGATGACTCACCACCCTGACAGCTTCTGAGGTGGCCTAGAGATGGAAAGGGAAAAGTTGGGATATTCTGCATGCATGGTGAAGTAAGTATTTCATGGGAAGCCACTGCAATGGGGAAGGCCTGTCCTGTTTGTACCAATCAACAGGGCCAACCTTCCTCACCTTGGGAGACACATCCCGTACCTCCAGCTGGCCAAAGGCCAGAGGATCTACAGCACATCCCTTAGGGAAGGGAAGGAGCCCTGGAAGCAATTCCCAGCAGGTGATTCCAGCTCTGTGTCCCACCTCCCCGTGGGGGTTTGGGTGGGTTGTGCAGGGAGTCCCACGGACACTCCAGTACCACCCTTCGGAGAAGACCTTTCAGACCATCAGCTCCAGCCATCAACCAGCACCACCACCAGTTCACCACTAAACCACGTCCTCAAAGCCATATCCACACATTTCTGAACACCCCCAAGGATGGGGACTCCACCACTGCCCTGGGCAGCCTGTTCCAAAGCCTGGCAACCCTTCCCAAGAAGACATTTTCCCCAACATCTCATCCAACCCTCCTCTGGCACAACTTGAGGCTGTTTCCTCTCCTCCTGTCACTTGTAACATGGGAAAAGAGACCAACACCCTAAACAGCCCTGTCCTCCCAGCCAGGGGGGCCAATGCACTCCTCCTCCTGCCCCCTCTACAGCCCATGGCACCACCCAGGAGGGTTTGGAGAGCCCAGGATCCGGGTTCAGCAACCTCCTCCTCCTGCTCCCTTTGTGGAGCCTCTCCACACGTTGCACAACCCAAACACATTTTTGGGTTTGGGGGTGTGTCTTCAGCTGCAACCCCAGAGACAAGTGCAGGGGGCTTGTCTGTGCTAACAAAAGCCTCGTGGCTTTTCCTAGAGAGAAGGAGCTGAGCAATTATTCCCAGCCCTCCCTCCAGCCTTGCAGCAGCCAGGCTGACTTGGCAGACTGCAGCTAATTGGGTTTACAGCAGAACAAGGCTTTGATTGAAGTGCCTCACTTAAAAAAGAAAAAAAATCTTACCACCCCCCCTGCCCTGCTGACATCACTGAGCGTGTCAAACAACCACCCCACATCTCAGCAAAGGAGAAATGCAGAGATTGTCATTGCTCCACCAAGCAGAGACCCACAAGTGAGTAATTGTGGCTGTTTGATGTGCTGTGTTCTGATCCATAATTCAGCTGCAGGTGCCTGACATTTTGGGCTGCTTTTGAAGTTCACGAAGCCCCTGCAGTCACCCAAGGGAGGGATCCTGCTTAGGAAGCCAAGGTGGGCCCTGAACAAAAGGTGGGCAGGAACAGCTCCAAAGCTGACACACAAAACCACTGGAGAGTGTAAATTAACGTCACCTCGAGTTTACCCAGGAAATAATTCAAATTCTACCATGGGGATTTATGAAACTAAAAAGACATATTAAATGAGCCCAGCAGGCAGCTTCTATATTTTTATGTGTTAAGGGCAAAAATAATAAGGCAAAAGCTTTTTTCCTGGTTTCATGGTCACAGTTTAAAATAAAAGCTGTCCCCCTTGTGCTCCAAGGATTTGCTGTGCTCAGCAGTTTTGCTGCTCCAGGGAGGATCACACGAACCTTTCCACTTGTGCTGGGGTTTAAATTTCCACAGAGCCACGTGGAGAACCCTTCCAGGCCTTCCTGGGAATTGGATCTAGGAGAGGTTTTACGGAAATGACACAACACCTATGTATTTAGGAGATGTTTCTGCCTGATGTGGGACAGCACTCAACACAAACCTGCTGTTGGCCCTGTGCTCTCCAAGTTCTCTCCTAAATCAGTGTTTGTAAAATTTCACTCAGGAATTCAGATCATGGACCAAGTCCAGGGCAAAAATCACTAAGTAGTGGCACAGTGCCTGTGTTCTTGAAGAAAAAGGAAGATGGAAGTTTTGTGGGAAGCAGAGAAAGAGGAAAGGAAAGATGGCAAGAGCAAAGGTTAAGCTGATTAAAAATTCCCATCACAGAATCCCAGAATGGTTTGTGTTTGAAGGGACCTTAAAGCCCATCTAGTGCCACCCCTGCCAAGGGACACCTTCCACCAGCCCAGGGTACTCCAAGCCCTGTCCAACCTGGCCTTGGACACTTCCAGGGATCCAGGGGCAGCCACAGCTTCTCTGGGCACCCTGTGCCAGTGAGGGTTTTGTGTCTGGCTCATGGAAAGTTGAACCAACTCCTGACCTTGCAAAGGGTGAAATTATCTCATGACCTGCTCTCACTCTGAGACCAGGCAGGACCAACCTCCCTGGGCACAGGAAAGGGATGTGATCACCCCTTGGCACCACCTCCCGATCCCGAGCCAGCAGGGCCGCCTGGACGGTGCCAATCCCGGGATTCATGGCCCTGATCAGCCACACCATCACCCACAGATGTTGCCATGGCGATTTGAAGTCGTTAAAAATAAATAAACCCGTTGTTCTGACACAACTCAGAAAACCCCTGGCTCCTGCTGGGAGTTTGAGTTGGGCCTGTTTGGTTAATTTGATGGGATGCCACGAGCGAGGGCCTGATTGCAAACCACAAAGTCATTTTTCTCCTTGGAAGAGTGGATAACTGAGTCTATTAATCCAACAATACATTTAAGCTGAGTTATTGTGACAAGGGACTTCCATTATCCATTTCATCTGGTTGCAAACTGTCAGAATAAATCTCAGGGGTTTAGGGCAGAAAGCTGCCTGCCTGTGTTGGCTGGTTTTATGTGCCACAACACTTTAATTTGGTTCACTCTAACTCGTGATACTGCACAACTGTGCAGGGGGAGCTCACACAGAACCTACCACAGAAAATGGCAATTATGTGAACATCAAAGTTGTTTGTCAGAAGGAGCCAGGACAGTCAAATTTGACCACCTGGCAGCATCTTGACATTGACTTCAATGACCCTTTTTTCTTATATATATAAGAAATACTTCTTATAAGAAATTTCCTTATATATATAAGAAAAATTTCTTATAAATTCTTGCATTTCTATTTTTTAACTATTATTGGTTCTGCTTTTGGAATCAATTAACCCTTGCAAATCAAAAAGTGCTCTGGTTTTATTCTGCTCACAAAGCAGGTTGTGACATAAACAGTTAAAACTCTTTAACCAGAAGTCACTCAACATGAGACATAAAGGAGTAAACAATGGTGTCCAACTTGAGATGTCAAACTGGAATTCAGAAGGTGGGATTCAATTTCATGGCTCTACCAGTGACTTAATGGAGGGCAACTGATTCCCCTACCAGTCATGCAGATGATGATAAATCCTTATCATCCATTATTTGCTTATTTTTGTAATTAAAGCTGTTCTAGTAGAAGAACAGTATTCATTGTTGTAACTGGTCACTGGCCATGAAGTCTGCTGGGGACAAAGGTGGAAGCTGGAAGGGAGGAGAAGGAAGGAAAAGGAAGGAGGAGAAGGAGGGAAAAGGAAGGAGGAGAAGGAGGGAAAAGGAAGGAGGAGAAGGAGGGAGGAAGAGGAGGGAGGAGATAGTTTGGAGGAGCCAGAGTCACTCACGACCTGAAAAACAGACCTGGAAAATTCACAGTGACTGCAAACCAAGTGCTCATGTGCACACACATGAAGGCAGGAGGAGGTGACACCACGCCAAGAGCTGCCTGGGGAGTTTGTTTTTCATTTTTTCATCCCTCCCCACGGCTGCAGCCCTGGCCAGTCCCCCAGGGAACGGGACCTTTGAGGTTTCCTCCTGCAGCACTGACACTTTAACCCCTCTCCAGCACTTTGTTGTCAATTATTCCCCTTAAGTCTCATTTCAAAGCCACTGTGAGCTGCAGGAAGCCCAGAGAGTGGCAGATCCCTGCACAGCAACACCCCACACACGCTTTAATGACAGCCTTTACAGAGAAATAGGAGTTTGGAGAAGGGAATTTCCAAGGTTTTTAAGCAATGCTCAAAGCTGGCTGTTCTCCCATGCCAAACACACACAGACCCTCAAAACCCAAGTGCACTGGGGTTAAAAAATAATAAAATCCAACCTACATGTCTCTGGAGGGCAGATAAAACACGGGTTTGAGGGCAGCACTCTTGCTTTAGCCATGTTGATGGCACTGGGGATGCTCTGACAGGGCAGGTTTGGGGCCAGCAGCTGCAGCTCCCTGAGCACGTCACTCCAGCCTGGACGGACCAACAGACACATCCCCCTGCCTGCGGGTCCTTCCCGTGGGCCGACTGCTTGAAAGACCCTGCCAAGAAATGAACGCCGCGGCCTCAACTGCTTTTAATTGCGGGCTCTCAGCACCATTCCCTGGAAACAGCGGGAGCTCCGATCCCTGCTCAGCCCGGGCTCTCTTTGGTCGCAGGAGGGGTTCGGCACAGGGTGTCAGTGGCACAACTTCTCAGCTCCGCTCCCGCTTTTGATCAGAGCTGGGCAGGGAGGGGAGATGCAATCTGCTCCTTCCTTTGCTGTCACTGCGCAGCGTTCATTAGTCTTAATTATTTTTTTTTTCGGTTCTAGGGGGAACCGTTGCAAAAATTAATCACAAGTGGAAGGCACAGCAGCCGTGTGTGGCCATAAAAAGACAACAAAGCATTTTAGGATCCACACTTGTTATGATTTACGCTCCGAACAGGACTGGGGGTAGCATATGGTGATTGCCACAAAGAAACATTTATTATAAAAACCTGGAGATTTATCTCCCAGCTTGCTTATACGCAAGAAGTTGCATTTACTTGAACTGATATTCAGATTATAATACCAGAACTGGGCGGGTTTTGTGGATTTTTCTTTTTAAACTACAAACCTCAGCCTGCTGTCCCTATAAATACATCCTTTAAGCAGATTCCAGCTGGACTATTCAAATACCTGGATGCAGGAAGGGTTTAGACATAGGTCAGCTCCTGCTCTGGGGCAACAGCTCTGTGCCCAGCCCTGGGCCTTGGCAAGCAGGAGATGCCAAGGGAATGTCAGGGAAAAGCAGGGATCCACAGCAGAGCCATGGCTCCAAGAAAGGGGCACAAAATTAGGGAGTATTGCTATTAAAGTCTGGAAATCAGGATATTTTAAGGTGTATTTTGCAGCCTCTGTGCAACACTCCCTGAGGAACAGGACAGGAACACAGCCCTTTAGGGGAGGAGGCCATGCAGGGCTGGCAAGATGTGACAGTTCCCCTGGAGGAATCCTGTGGACACCAAGCCCAGGTGTAAAAAACAGTCCCATTGGAGTGAAAGACTGGAGCCCATCAGGGCAGAGGCTCTCAGGGTGCACAGCCAAGCTGTGCTTTCGGGGGCTGTGATGGAGTATTTTCAGTTCAGCACTAAGGGACTCGTGTGGAACTGCCTCAATAAACCAGCAGAACTACAGGACTGCTGGAAGGCCAAGAGGCTGCAATGGCACAAGAGCTCTGCTCATTTATTTACTGTTCATTTCAGTGTTTTTAATTCCTCCCAGTCCAATCCAATCCAGAGTGACCCACACACACCTTAAACTCCCACCTGGCACAAGGACAAGGCTGCTGCTGGGGAAGGGCTGGATTTAGGGAGGCAAAGCTGAGACTGGAGACATGGAACATCTCATCCCTCCTCAAAGTTCAGAATTAGGCCACCACATGGTCTAAAAACCAGCTCCACTGCCAAGGGTCCCTCTCACTCCTCCTGGCTTTCCAGCCTCTTCCCTCTCCACTCTGATCGTGTTTGAAGTCTGGGAGACAGAAAGGTCAGAGTTGTAAAACAACTGCTGTCTCCTTCTCCTTTCCTTCCCTCCAGCTCAAGGAAAATGCCAGAAGTGGGTTTCCAGTTCCTTTAAAGGGAAGGTAATTGTTCTGCCTCATTCACCTCACCATCTCCAGAGAGGAATGAAACACATTCCCACTCCCACAGAGATCCTTCTCCTTGACTTGCCCTCAACTCTTTCCCCCTCAGCTCTGGTGAACCAGAGAGAATGGAACTGAGCTGGAAAACCATCATCTTTAGCCTCTCCTCCATAAAAAAGCAACCCACACAGCCAGACTGACCAACACCCTTAAAAATGGTCAAAATTGACATTATGAAGCATTAAGATTATCAACACTTACCCCAGACCATGCCATGCTGCTCCTCAAGGTGCTGGGAAGCTCCTGGCTGGTGCCAAGGACACACAGGGCAGATCCCAGGCTGACATGAATCCCTGTCTCCAGTACAATCCCAGTGACTGTGGAGAGTGGGGACTGACAGGATTGGGGTATTTATTTCAATTAAGTACCATAAAGCATCAGATCTAAACAGAGCTGTAGGCAAGAGATTTGGTTATTTGGAGTTATTGTGCAGTGGAATTACACTGGCTCTATAGTTCTATATTGTACTCTGACATTATATGGAATTAGTCACAACAGGGAGAAAGAATCAATCAGTGCTGGCTAAGGAATTGAGATAATAATGACTCATTTGACGAGATTGCTCTGGAAAATTAATAATGACGGTGGTAATTACTGACCTGGGATGGCTGCAGTGCTCATTACTCTCCTTTTACTCCAGTGAATGTTAAGTATTATGAAGATGTTTGTTAGAAAGCCTCGAGTGCAGGTTTTCCATCACAGCAAGGGCTCAAGAGGCCCAAAATCTGTCCTTTTACACTGCCCAGGGCACGGCCCCCCAGAGCTGTGATATTTGATACAGCCCAGACAGCAATTATTGACAGGGGTTAATGCCTGGCAAGCCTGACCTGGGGCACCTCTGCAGCCTCTGCATCAGGGCCCATCACTTTGGGGAGGGGAGAGTTGATGCATCCCTGGAGATCTCACTGTTTATTAAATTTATCCCCCCAGTGAGGCATCTTTGTGCTGAAAGCAGCTCAAACCGGCCCCTTTTCCAGCCCATCAACCCCCCCTCCTCCACCAGAGACACCCCCCAGAGCCACAGGGAGCACTTTCTCCCCAGGGCAGGAGACACCCCGGGCTGCAGAGCCCATCCATGGCACCTTGGGGACAGAAAATGTTCTTTAAGACAACCCAGAGAGACATTGGAGTCTGAAAAGCCAGGACTGACTAACAATGAGGACGCTGAGCAGCTGTGCTCTCAAACAGCTGCTCCAACCCCCCCAGAGTGCCTTGCATGACTTATTTATACTTGAAGTGGCTCTGCAGAGGGTTCCCCTTCTGTTGAGCAGCAAGAGATGAAGCTGAAGGTGCTGGAACAGGCAGGAGAATTTTAAAAAAAAAAAAAGAAGTCACTTATTAATGTTGAAGGGAAATAAACCTCCAATGTTCTGAACAAGGCAGAGGGTTCTCAAAGCAGCAGCTATCCTCTTCATTAAGGAATTCTGAACCCCACTTCAGCTTTCCCAATTATTCCCATTTTTCTGCCAAATTCTATTTCCCACAATTGCTTTCAGCCTTATGAAACAGGCTCTTTCAAGGCACCTTCCACACACACCATCCCTCTTTCACTTTAATCACTCAGTGACCAAGTTCTGTGTGCTGGCACCTTTGGGTGTCGAGATTGTCCCCTGGCAACCATCAACCCACAGGACAACGGGATCAGGGACCTGGCTACGGCTCCCCAGAGCCAGCAGGTCCATCCTACTGACTGCTCCCTGCCCTGATTCCAGTCCATGGATAACCAGTGTCACTGTGTCCCCTCCACAAACCATTGACAGGAACCCCTGTGGCAGCAGCACTTGCATTTCCTGAAGGATTCCCGACCAAAGGGAGCTTTCCCAAAGAATTCAGGGCACCATCTCGCTGGATGTTGAGCTCTGTTGAGCCAAATCTCTTCTCCCTGTTGGATTCCCAGGAGGAGGGGACTTATCTGGGAGCCTGACTTGAGCTGTGAGCACTGAATGCTGAAAATAGCTGGCCTAAGGAGGGGGAAATCCATCTGTTTGAGGCCAGGGATGCTGGGGAAGGATGCAGAGGGCTGTGCTCAGCACAGATGCCTTTCCCAGCTCCTCTGAGCCACAGGAAACCTCAGCTGAGACTAAAATAGTCCCTCAGAGACTCAGCCCCACCCGGGGCTGGTCACCTGCAGGCACATTGCAAGAGCAAGCCCGAATTTAGTGCACTTCCCATCCTGCCCGGCTGCAGCACTCCCAGTGATCCACGTCTGCTCCTGCATCCCCTTCCCCGGGCAAACAGAGGGACCACACTTCTGTTCACCAGTGCAGGCCAGCTCCAGAGTTAATTATTGTAATTACCGATTGAGCAGGCTCCGAACGCTAATCTATTATAAAGTGGGCTGTTAATTGGTGTTAAACTGCCATTAACCTGCATTTCCCATGTTATCACGCTGACCTGGGGCACAGCACCACAAAGAACCAATCCATTCCTCAGTTCTGACCGTCACCCAGTGCAGATTTGGAGAAGAACCAGGAAAATAATCTACATACCTGGACCTGCAATTATCCTCACAAAGGAAAACATCCCTCTGCTGCTTTAAATCCCACTTTTTGGACAGATGTAGGGCTGCACTCCATACCCCTTTGGGTTGGATTGGCAGTGCCAGGAGGGCACTGACTGTTCCTGAGCTGCAAATCTGCAGGTGGAGCAGATTCCTTATGGAGCTGAAGGCTTCTCCATCAGGGGAGTCTCCACCTGCTCCTCCTGTGGGGGCTCAAAACACGAGACCTGCCGAGTGTCAGACATCCAGGGACGGAAATGATCAGCACCACAGCGCCTCATCAGCCCCTGAAACACTTCAGAATCAGCCAGAGCTGCCCCTGAGAAGCTCCTGGAAAAACAGGGCCAGGTCTCAGCTGGTCTTTTCCACTTCTGCCTTCAGCCAGTCCAGATGCCCCGACTTTGAGCTTTAATTTACAGCAGTGGAGACAGAAGGTCAGCTTAGTAACTTCTCAGAGGTCAGCTGGAAAATCCAGGTGCCCATCAGGGCAGTGAACTTCCACTTAAGCACTCTGCAAGAGGGAGGGCTGGAATTTCCACTTCAGACCCAGGAGGGAAGGCAGCTCTGCTGACTGGGCTCTTCCCAAAAGCTGTCCCTGCAGTGGCACCACCTGCCAGGGTGACCCTCAGGGCATCTCCCCTCCCTGACAGTCATCTGCACCAATAGCTCTTCCTTGTGATCTCACAGAGACAACTTTAAAACTTCAGGGCAACTTCAAATGACCTCTAGGAAGTCCAAACCACATTCATTTCCCAAAAAAATCCACCTTTACTCACGTGCACCCAGTGCACCCATTTCAAGGGAGGTCACAGGGCAGAATCTTCCAATTTGACAGATGTGCAAGAGTTTGAAGAGCTAATCCAAACTTTTTGGTGTTCAGGTACCTTTAAAATCATGTCTGGGTTATTAAAGAAGGGGAAAAAAAGGGTCAGCTATTCAGAAATCCCATGGAAAGAGAGACTTGCCATGTCCTGAGAGTCTTTCCACCATGTTTTAGTGATAACTGGGAAAACAAAGCCTTTGTCATTCAGGATTATCTCCAGTTCTTTGTACTCCTTGCCAGGGCACAGCTGTTGTTGCAGTATCATTTATGTCATTTTTCACTTTCCTTCCCGAGTCCTTCCATCACTTGCCTTTGCATGTGGAAACTCTGAGCAGATTGGACTGCAGGAGCACAGAAAGCACAGGAATAAAACTTGCAGTGCCATCAGTAATGAACACAGGAAGCTTCTGGAAGCGGAATCCATCTGATTCCATGTCTCACACTGCTGATGGTTATTATTCCTGCATTCAGGCTTTTCCAAGACATCTATTTATCACTTTCTTTACTGGCACTGGCAGCATGCCCAAGTACACCTGCATGAGCCTCATGTCTCCTCTTCCTCAAAAAAATGTGCAGATCTTCTATTTGATGCCATTTACTGCCACTCAGGTGCCCATCCACAGGAAATTCCCATTTGTTTGAGTCTGTTACCTTGATAAACTGATCCATGTGGAAACCAGCCATCCCATTGCTTTGCTTTGGGAGCAGACAAGCCAAGAGGAAGGACTTCATCACTTCTGGGCTGAAAATATAACCCCTAAATTGCCCATCCAGTAGGTTCTTTGTCAGCACCTTCCACCTGAACTGGGAGTCAAATTAATCCTTGGTTCCAACAGGTCCATCATCAAAGGGCTCCAACTCCCACCCTGTCACCTCCTGTCCCCTGAACAACATTCTTGGCAGCAGCTGCTGCACAAACCCACCTGCACCTGGATGAGTTTCACACCTTCCCCTCAGCACTCTGCAGTGGCACCAGTGACCAGGGTTTTTTTGGCTGATTAGAAAGCTGTCAGTCCCAGCTCCTTCTCAGCCTGCCCTATCACAGGCAGAATTTATTGTTGCTGGGATACTGTCATTGCTGGATGTTTTGCTTTGCTTATCTTTTACTCTTCAAAGTGCTACATATTCCCTGTCTTTTATCTGACTCCCTCATTACTATTCCATCCCTCACTCACACCTTTGCAGTCCCTCAGTTGCCTTCATGTGCTCTTGCTGCCTTATTTTCTGCCAGTGACTCCAAATTCCGCTTGAGTGCCCCTTCCTTTTACAGCAATAAAGGAAAAGAAACCTGCACAGATGGAAATCTGCCCCTTCTGCTGCTTGGCAAAATGGATTCTACAAGCTTTGCACTACAGGACTTACTTGGTTGGGCTTGGGGAGGGACCTCAAAGCCGATCCAGTGCCACCCTTGCCATGGGCAGGGACACCTTCCACCAGCCCAGGCTGCTCCAAGCCCCATCCAACCTGGCCTTGGACACTCCCAGGGATGGGGCAGCCACAGCTTTTATGTGAACATCAAAGCAATTATGTGAACATCAAAGTTGTTTGTCAAAAGGAACCAGACAGTCAAATTGGACCACCTGGCAGCATCTTGACATTGCCTTCTTTTTCTTATATATAAGAAAAATTTCTTATAAATCCTTGCATTTCTGTTTTTTAACTGTAATTGGTTCTGCTTTTGGAATCAATTAACCTTTGGAATTTTAAAAGTGCTCTGGTTTTATTCTGCTTGCAAAGCAAGTCGACTTAAACAGTTAAAACTCTTCTAACCAGAAGTGACTCAACATAAAGACACAGAGGAGTAAACAACAGTGTCCAACTTGAGATGTTAAACTGGAATGCAGGAGGGCTGACAATGATATTTACAGAGAGAAGGAAAACAGGAGCTGGTATTTCAGCACTGTTTCTGTTGTCTAAGCCCATCCACGCTGTGACAGAAGGTGTGTGAGCAGCAGAGGGATCTCAGCCCTTACCTGGTTGATCCACACTCAAAGCTCAGCAGATGCTGCGAGACGTGCATGTCTCCTGCCCTCAGGAAATGTCCTTCCCTGCAGGATTTGCTCCTGGTCCCCAGCCCCAGGGGCCTGTGGGGAGATCAGAGCCACACAGACTCAGATGGTTGGTTTGCTTCTTCTGCTCTGCCTTTGTGACGGGCTGGGTGGGCTGGCAGCCTTCTGCTCACAGAGCACCCCAGGCTCCAGAGAGGCTTTTTTTCCTTTTTGAAATAAATCCCAAAGGCCCATTGTCCATTTGCATCCATGAAAATGCTGTAGAGAGGATCCCACTTAGTGACTGGGCCTCAGCTCCTGTTGAGTGTGATGGCAAAACACCCACACTGGGTTATGACTCCAAGTGCCAACAGTTTTTCCTCCACATCTTGTGGCATCATCTGTTGCATCAGACACCCCCATAAAGCAGCCACATCCACTGGAACAGCCCCATCAGTCATCATGTCAATATGTAGTTTTTATATGTCCTAAGAATCTGTGAGAGCCACGGGAGAGGGTTTGGAACTCGATGATCTTTGAGGTCCCTTCCAAACCAAACCCTTCCTCTCTGACTTGGCTGTGCCTGTTGTGCTGCTGGGTTTGTACTCCAAACCAGCACCAGACCGGTCTGGTGAGCCCCTTCATAGAATCACAGAATCTTCTGAGCTGGAAGGGACCCACAAGGATCATCAGTCCAGCTTCTGGCCCTGCACAGACACCCCAACAATCCCACCCTGAGAGTTGTCCAAACCCTCCTGGAGCTCTGGCAGCCTTGGGGCTGTGCCCACTGCCCTGGGGAGCCTGTTCAGTGCCAGCCACCCTCTGGGGGAAGAACCTCCTGAGATCCACCCTGAGCCTGCCCTGGCACAGCTCCACACCCAGGGCTCGCTCAGGAGTGACCTCAGCAGGGTCTGGTTTGTGTGGATGGAGAGCAGATCGAGGCAGGAATTTGCAGAGTGCTGGTTCTCAGCAGCAATTCCTTCATGGATTCTCCCAGAGCACCCCAAGGACAGCAAGGCCACTCACTGTGTGACCAGGTTGATGCCCTGCTTGCATCAGCTCCCCCCAGGACTCGCTCTCCCCAGAGCCTGCAGATAACAGAGCAGGCAGCCTGGAGCTGGGGGGGCAGGGAATCACCTCCTGGAGAGAACCCTTCTCCTCCTGCTCCATTTGCCCTCCACAGGGAGCAGCCCCCTAATTAAAGGGCCCTGCATCTCCTCCCCTCCTCCTGAGGAGCAGTGGGGATGGCAGGACCTCCTGCCCTGTCTAATCCACATGGACCTCCCAGGCTGAGCCCTGTGCCCGGGCATGGAGAGACAAGGGCAGCCAGAGGGTCATCCTGGGGATGACCAGGAGTCAATCACCAGCTCTGCTAATTGCTAAATGCACTCATTTTCCCACAACACAGGGAGGAAGGAACCCTAGTAAATTGTTGGGGCAGGTTGTGTCTAACCCTTCGCTCAGGGCAGGTTGGGAAACTACAGGTTGGCTTCTCACCAGTGTCTGGCCTCCCTAATTATTATTTTCATGCAGTAATTTCCTAATTAACAGTCTTGCACTGCCTTTTTTTTCCTTTCTGACAGCAGCAAAGTTGTTTATCCCATTTCCTCACGTAGAGTTTTGTTTTCTGCTCTCCTGAACAATGGCAAGAACAGAACAATGCAGGGGAACACTCAGAGTCACCCCCTGCCCAGATCAGAGAGGAACTTCTTGTCGCTGACACCTGCTGGCAATTAATCCTCTGCATGCTCCAATTTACAATCAGAGGCCCTTCTGGATGATTCCAGCCTGCAATCCCAGCTGCCCTCTGCCTTCCTGGGTGCTGGAAGGGCCCAATCCTGGGGTTTTGTTTTAGAGCATCCCAGGAGGAGCTTCCCTGTCTCCAGTGCCCTCTGAGGGGGGGCACTCAGGGGATGGAGCCCCTGCTTTGACACGAAGAGGCTTCTTGTCCATGAGGGAAAGAAACACCTTTTCCTAAAAAGACATTTGGATCTGGGGCTCTGTCAGTCCCTCTGTGCATCAGCCCCACCTCAGGCACCCTGAGAACAAGGAGCTCTCCTGCCTGCTGGGATAGTTGCAGTTTGTCCCGGAATTTGGAAGGCCAAGGAACCTTCTGTACCTTCAGATTAACTTGCATTTACACTTGTGCCCTACCAAGCCCTCAGTGCAGATTTTCAGGGGTTTGTTGGAATAAAACAATACCTTAATCTTGCCCATCTGAAAATATTTCTATCTTACACACAGAGAGTGCAGGGTAGAAAACCAAATAGAAATATGGCAAAGAATGCTGCTCTTTGAAGTACTGGTGGCATTAGGAAGCCATTTAGTGCTCTAAAGAACAGCATTTTATTAAGTATTTCAAAGGAACTTTGGTGCTATTATTTCTTATTTTGCTATTAAAACCTGTAAGTTTGAAAATTAATCATTATAGGACCTTTGATGCAAAAATCTATGAATAAAATAAATTCTGAAGCCTCCTTTCACACTAAGTTACATTAAAACACTCCTTCATCTCCCTTATTAATTTAATGCACAGCTCAGAAAGCATCTTAAATATTAGGAATAACATTCTACTAAATAACCAAACCCCCCTATGGCTTCTTGATTTTTCTTTCCTTCCCATAGCAGGATATTTCTCACGGCTTTCCAGCGACCTTTAAATAAACTTTTGGGTTCCCAATTAGCATGATAAACAATAGATTCCTATTTCATGGGCAATTTCATGGTCAAGGAGCTACCAGAGATGGGCTGTGTGCTCTGCAATATTCATGTCTGCAGTGGAGCAGCTCCACAGGAGACATTTTCCATCAGCAGCATCTCTGGGAATACGTGTCAGGACAGTTCTCCTTAATTCCTGATGGCTCAGCCTAATTCTTTCATTACCATGAGCGAAGGTCTCCCGTGGAAGGGGAAAGACACCTGTGAAAGATCCACAGGAGCAGCAGCCAAGTGCCCCAGTGCCAGTGGGGACATTGGGGGGACACAGAGGGACAGCTCACGTGGCAAAACCATCCCAGGGAATTCCTTATCCCAGGGAAAATTCCTCTTGGCTCTTCTCAATTACACTTCATTTGCTTTTATCACAGAATTTAATTTGAGGCACTGGCTTTGCTGATGGGCTAAAGCTTTTTTTTTTTTTTTCTTTTTAACATTTTAAGCAAGAGGAGACAAAGCAATCCCTGGGATTGGATTTAAATGGTGGAGTCACCAGCCCTGGAAGTGTCCAAGGCCAGGCTGGGCCTGGGCTGGTGGAAGGAAGGTGTCCCTGCCCACGGCAGGGGGTGGAAGGAGATGAGCTTTAAGGTCCCTCCCAACCCAACCCATTCTGGGAGGAAGGAGGGGTTGGGTCCCCACGGGTCACTGGGATGGCTGGATGGGACAAGGAGGGGATGGAAAAGCAGAAGGGTGAGGGCAGGGTGGGCCAGGGAATCAATCAACCCTTGCTGCCAGCTGGGACAGTGCTGGCAGGCTCATCTTTGCCCTGCTCCCAGGGGAGGGCTCAGGGAGCACAGAAACCACTTCAACAGCAGCAACACAAAAACGAGGGAAAACAGGAAGGAAGGGTCTATCTGGTAATAAAAACCCAGGTAAAATCGGGGGGAACAGGGCAGGGCCCCCATCCCATCCCTGGCTTTCCCAGCCCATTGCCCTAGAAACCCAGCCCTGCACAGCTCTGGGGTCCCAAAGGCTGCACATCCATGGATGCCAAGGAATCCCAGCCCTCCCTGCTCAGGAAGGGCCACCCTTCCCACCCTGGCTCCAGAGCACAGATACCTGCAGAGTGCAGCTCCTGGGTGCCATTTCTATTCCTGATTTGAAGTGATTTACAGCTGATTTTTCATTTGATATCCATATGCTCATACAGGAGATCCCATTCTGTGCATCATTTCTGGGAATATACTTACCCCACAGCGCACTACATAAAGTAAATAGTCTGCTGATGGGAAAGAAATACCAGAATATTAAAGCAAAATCAATAAATGCTTTAAAATCTCATCTTTCAGCCTTCCTTAACGTTGTTGAGGCAGGCACTGAAGCTCCCAGGAGCTCCAAAACCAGGCACAGCGTGGTGTGGTGCTGAGCATTCCTGGAGCTGGAAGCTGGAGTGAGGAGCAGGAACCTTCTTGGAGAGACATCAGCACCTTCCCTGTGCCTGGGGAAAAACACCAAATCCAAGCTGGGCTTTTTATCACAATTAGCACTCAACAATTAGCACTCAGCTGAGCAGCTCCAAACCAGCCCAGCTGCTCAGGCTGGAGGGCAGGCAAAGGACCCACCAAGCCTGTCCTGAGTGTTCAGACCCAAACCCTCCGATTGCTTCACCTTTTCCCACTGGAATATTCAGGGATTTCCAGGCAGGGAAGTGCTGGGGAGTGGGTGGGCTGGGGGTGCACTGGGTTCCTGCCACAGGCAGGCTCGCTGGAGGTGCAGGAGAAGCTGCTGATGTGAAATATTTTTATATAGGCCAGTTCTCTTCCAAAAGTGGGTCCAGAATTAGGTTAGTAAGTCGATATTTACACACAAGATGATGTGCCCTGGTTTTCCAAAGTGCTGAATACCCAGCCCAGCAGTTCCCTCGTGGGGCTGGGAACTTTATTTTTGGCACCTGCTTCTCCAGCAAGCCCATCTGTGACAGCCAGCTCGGAGCTGCCACGTAATTAATGCCAAACTTACATAAGCCAGTCATGAATAAGCATTATTTGCCATATATTAAGCTTGCAGAGATGGCTTTGAGAACTGAACCGGTATTTAGCAAGGTAGGCCTCCAAAATTGTCAATTAATGCTCCTTGACATTTTCTGAGTATGTTAATTTATATTAAACCCACTGCAGCCAGCTCTGCATAAGATAATTCGGAGCCTCAGCCATAAAGTAAGACGAAAAATGCACTTGAGGAGCGTTATGGCTGCTCTTTATCACCTGCCTGACACAATGCACATTGTGGATGCAATGCAGGCAAGATAAACACATATATAAAGCAGGCAATTACCTCAGTTCACACACCCCATCATATTTATGACCATTTGCAGGGGCTGGCTATAACTCATTTACTCCAGGGGCTGGAGTAAATCCATCACTGTAACCCCACGAGCCGGGCTCTGAAATGCAGGTATCAGGATTTGCTGCCATCCAGCTAAGCCAGAGACACCTCCATCCTCCTTCCAAAGGTGGGAGGTCAAGGGGGAAAATGATGGGAAGAGCTGGGAGCAGAGCCACTCGCTGCGATGCAGTGGCAGGGAACGCAGCCAGGGAGGGTTAAATCTGGTAAATGCAGAGATTGAAAGGTTTGTTCATTTGAAAGGCAGGTTCTCCTGGAGTGGATCATGGCAGGGTTATAGTCTGGGCATCCCTGGATAATATCCCAGTTGTACCAGTGCTGGTGAATGGTTGGACTCAGCGATCCTAAAGGTCTTGTCCAACCTAAACAATTCCATGATTCTGTTGTTCTGCAAGGAGATGGGCTGCTCTGACTTGGCTCCCCTCAGGGTCAGGTACCCACCATGGACCAGCCTGCAGAGTAGAAGGCTCTGGAGAGACCTGAGAGCCCCTTCCAGGGCCTAAAGGGGCTCCAGGAGAGCTGGAGAGGGACTGGGGACAAGGGATGGAGGGACAGCACACAGGGAATGGCTTCCCACTGCCAGAGGGCAGGGAGAGATGGGATATTGGGAAGGAATTCTTCCCTGGGAGGGTGATGAAGCCTTGGATCTGTGGCTGCCTCATCCCTGGAAGTGTCCAAGGCCAGGTTGGATGGGGCTTGGAGCAACCTGGGCTGGTGGAAAGTATCCCTGCCCATGGCAGGGAGTGGAACAGGATGGTCTTTAAGATCCCTCCTGACTCACACCATCCTGGGATTCTGGGATCACTCTCACCAGTCCACCCTGAGCACAACCCAGGGATTCCTCCAGTGCAAAACTTCCAGGGTCCATTTTTCCAAGTCCCTGCTGGGCTGTTTCCCCCTTGAGCTGGAAGGCAATGGGCAGGTTGATGACCCTCAGCAGAGTCACCTCCAGCCCCACCAGCTCTGGATAAGGACAGGGGCCAGACCCCTCAGACACTTCACCACTGAGATTGCCACTAACACTGTGCATCCCATGTGACTCATCAGGGGCAATTAAAGCCCAATTAGTGTCTCTCTGTGCTCTGCAATCCCTCCCAGCACCTCGAAGGAGCCCAGAGTGGGCAGACAAATGTGCCTTGGGATTTGCTGTCATTTCACAGGCGATTGGATCGGATGGGAAATGGGCAAGGCAGTAAAGAATCAAATCAGAAAAGCCATTTAACCTCCCAGATTATGAGAGGATATATCACTCAAAATGCAGCACTTCCCAGATCCTCAGTTAAACTGGAATCAGCCTGTCTGCCTTGAATCCCAAAGTCTGCCAGGCTGTGCAGGCACGGAGCTGTGACCTGACAGCACGGGGAGATGGAGATGAATGTTTGGCAAATGTGGTTTTCAATAGATATTTCCAGAAATTGGAAACATTTTGCAGTTGTATCTGCAAAAATCACTGTCTATTCTATTCTATTCTATTCCATAACCAATATGAGTGATTACTTTAGCAGATATAACACATGCAAAAAGGGTTTAAAAAAAGATCGTAGGGAGTGATAAGAAATGAATTTCACAAGCACAGTGAGAAAAGCAGGAGGAGAAGGGGCTGCTCTGGAAGGAGCACAGCTGATACCTTCCTGTGGTATCACTTTGGGAAAGGAAAAAAATGGGGATAAATTAAGCACTTCATTCTGTGAGTAAGTTTTAAGGTAATCTGATTCCAACTGCTCCCACTAGCACCATTCCAGGGCAGCAAAGGAGAAAATCAATGATGAACATCAACATTTCCATTTTGTTTAGTGCCTCTGTAATTCAGCCATGAGAACCTGCCTGTCACTGATGGCTTGGCCAGGGCAGAGCCAGGGATAACCCATGGACTTCTCCAGCTGGTGTGTCCAGGAACTGCTCACTGAGTGCTGAACAAAGAACAACATGGCTTCAGAGATGGTTCTGTTTAATTACTGGGGACAAAATGTAAATCTCCTGGGATTTATGGTTTGATTTGATGCTGCTACAGCATTTTTCTATAGCATTTATTATTTAATGGCCATATAACATCAGGATGCTGTTGTCTTAATCTGTCCCTGAGTGTTAAAATCACCAAGTAAAAGTTAATCCTTGTTCCCAGTGGTTTAAACAGATAAAACAGAGAGAAGTGGAACTCAAAACCGTGGTCCTACACATCAGTGGCACAGGGAATGGACAGCAGGCTCTAGGGACATCATCTACAGCTTTTCCCACCAGAATTTGCACTCTCTCCTATAAAATAGTTTCCCTCCACTGAAGTCAGAGTGGCACAACACTTGTCTCAATCTACACCCAGCACTCACTGCCTACACACAAAGAACTCTCCCCTGCAATAATCCATGGCTCCAACACCCACTGATTCCCACCCCACACAGCTGGGCAGTGCTCTCCTCCCCCAGCTGATGGGGCTGGAAGTCACTCATTACATCAACACCGTTTCCATATTTCTAAATGTTCATTCCACTCTTGTACAACGAAACCATACCAGAAAAAAGCAACTGAAAATCAAAACTTTGCCCTTGTTGGGGCAGAGCAGCCTGGCCTTGTTTCTCTTTGAACCCCACTTGTGGTCTGAAGGACCTGAGCTCTGGATAGGCCACTGTGTTGTCCCAATCCACCCTAAGGAATTTCCACTGGCTGGAGCTCAGACACTTTGGGCCAGCTCAGGGAAGCATTAAGCATATTCCTATTTCTCTTTGAAATAGCACTGTTGTGTTTTTTTTATTTTTACATGATGAAAACTTATGGACTTGTTCAAAGCTGAAGAGCTGCTTTCCCCTCACAGACCATATTTTCTGATCCAGAGAACTCCTGCTGAGAGGTGCCAGGAGAGTGGAAACCCCGAGAGCACGGCAGGCTCCTGGGAGTGGAGCTGAGCAGAACTGACACACCGAGGAAGAGCAAGGAGGAGAGGCTGAGGCTGGCAGAGCATCCCTGTTCTCTGCCCTCCCCTCCCTCTGGCACACACAGACCTCAGAGTGGCATCAGGGGCTCCCAGGAGAAGGAGCAGATCCCCCCAGACAGCAAACTGCGGGCTGGACAAACGACGGGGTTGTGTTTCACCGGGCTGGATGTGGTCGGATCATCTGTAAATTATCCACCCAGCCCTTTCTCCAGGCAGCCATTATTCTGTCAGGCCATGGGCTGCCAATTCCAGCCCTCCTAAACCTTGAAAGCAGCTGTCTCCCAAAGCAAGCCAGTTCAGGAAGAATAGGGAAACAAATTACATAAAAGCAGATTAACTTCTCTTTAACTTCCTTCAAAATATTTCTTCCCCACGGCCTCTGTAATCCCATTTTTTAAGGGAATTTGGTCTCTTTATTTGTTATTCTTATCGGTGTGACTTGAATTTAAAGCTTTATGCTGCGTGTTTCTGCCCAGGGACCTGTTGTGATGATAATCCCCAGGCTTTTCCACGGTGGGAATGGCTCTTTGAGCAGTTTTCAGCCCATTGCTCTGACACTTCCCAGGAGACAAAGACGGGCAGGGAACGCTTGGTGAGCTCAGCTGAAGCTCCTCGGTGAGTGGTGGGACTTTTGGGAGGGCCTTGGGGGTTTTGTTGTTTTTTTTCTTTTAACTTTGGACTGCTTGGATATGCAACACTTGCCCAGAGAAGCTGTGGCTGTCCCAGCCCTGGGAGTGTCCAAGGCCAGGCTGGAGCACCCTGGACTAGCTGGAAGGTGTCCCTGCCCATGGCAGGGGTGGCACTGGGTAGGCTTTGAGGTCCCTCCCATCCCAAACCAGTCTGGGATTCTGGGATCACCAATGCACAGATGGGCAGGTGAGGCACCAAACAGGCGGGCGGGGAGATGTCCTGTAAGGACAGCTCTAACAAACACAGTATTTCACAAAGCTTCAAAAAGTGTCAGAATTTCTACCTAAGGAAGCCAACTGCTCCAAGGAGACTCCTAAAACAATGCCAAAATGCCAGTGTGCACGCTGGTCTTTGTTATGTAGCTTAACCACGCATTGTGCCCTCTCACATCCTCTCCATTCTGCCCCAAAACCTTTATCTTTTTTGCCTGAAAGGTAAAAATATAGAGAGAACAGCTCACCAGGGGCCTAAATGAGCTGGAGGCATCCCATGGGCATCCCATCCACCAGGGCACCCCAGCTGCCAGCAGGGGTCTGGTCACAGCTCAGGCAGGGAAGGTCCCACCACTGCAGACCTGGTGGTCAGAGCTTTGTTTGGAGGATTTCTGACCCTCCTCCTACGTAATCAAGGAAAGATCAGAGGCAAAGCTCAGGTGATGAAGGTGGGACCACGGAGGGTGAAGAGCTCTACTGACCTGGCCCTGCCCTCCCTGGACAGCTCTGGCTGCTGTTCCACAGCCCAAATCCCATCAGGAATGGCTCTGCAGGAGCAGGAGCCAGGAATCCACCTCATTTCCCTCCACCAGGCTCAACACCCCGGGAAAATCGCGTGAGATGTGGGAGGAGAGGAAAACTCACCCCTTGGGGAGAGCAAGAGATCAGAGAATCGAAGCTGAATGAGCTCCCTGTGCCCTCTGCAATTAAAGGGAACTTGAAAGAGTTTCAATTTGGTGATATCATTAATTTCCCCCCCTTCCTCCTCGCTCCCGCTGCAGTTCAGAAGAGACGTTCCTTCTGCACTGTTCAGTGATGAAAGGCTGAGCTGGAGACACCCAAGAAAAGGAAAGTTTGCAAAGTTTTCAGCCCTTTCATCAGTTCTTTAAACAATGATCAGAAAAACACGAGAGACAGGCCGTGTTTGAGGGAAGTATTGCAATGAAAGCTGCGTGCAGTGGGCTCTGCTGTCCCGGTGTGACTCGAGCGCTCACAGCCCGATGGCCTGGGAAGATTTAGTGGCAGTTTTGTCACAAAGCAAGGCTGTCAAGGAACATATTTATGCTTACCCAGCTATTTCATTTATTTGCTAAGGAAGAAAATTGCACTGGAACACCAGGCAGGTAGGAAATGTGGCATTTAGTTTAAAAATAAATGTGTTTAATGCACAGGACATGCAGTGGCAGGAGCCCAGGGAGCTGGTGGAGCGTGGATTGTCTGGTGTGTCAAGCACCTCCAAAATAAACCTGAGTGCAGAGCACCCCACACCCACATATTTCCACACCCAACTATTTCTGCCCTGTGTTTCTTTACCTGGAATTCCTCACAGTCTTGTCCTGTAGCTGGGAGGTAACTGAGTCCTGATCGCTCCCAGGATGGTCCTGCAGGTGATGGAGCAGCAGAGGGATGGATTTCCACTCCAACAGCCCAGCTGGGGTAAAATACGCCTTGTCTGGCTGTGCCCAGGCAACACAAACACAACCAACTGGAATTGCTGCCAAATCTTGTTTTTTGTAGAATCCCAGAGTGGTTTGGGCTGGAAAGGACCTTAAAGAGCACAGAGTCATGGAATGTTAGTACTGCATCCAGTGCCACCCCTGCCATGGGCAGGGACACCTTCCAAGCCCCATCCAACCTGGCCTGGGACACTTCCAGGGATCCAGGGGCAGCCACAGCTTCTCTGGGCAGTCCTGTGCCAGGGCCTGCCCACCCTCCCAGGGAAGGATTCCTTCCCAATATCCCATCTAAACCTCCTGAAAGGCAAGAAATCCTCAGAAATATCCCAAGGCCATCACGTTTCTGGGCACAGTTTGCCCAGAAAGGATCAAAGACTTCCAACAGCTCCATGTCATCGGCACAGATGGATCAAAGGTGCTTTCAAAGCCTGTCCACGAGGCAGTGACAGGGCCCAGCCACTGATCCAAAATGTGGGGGCAAACCTGTGTGGTGTCAGCCCTGATCAGCGTGACCTGAGCCTGGCAAGGGCCTGCTCCCTGCTGGTCGTGGTGGAGGAGGAGGCACAGCCACAACTCCAGGGACACCCGTGGGGGACAGCCCTTCCAACAGCCCCAGCTCCCCACAGTTCAATTCCCAGCTGCAGTGAAAAAGGGAAGACAACAAGTGGAAGTCTCTGGGGCTGCCTTTGGGACCCTCTGGAGTTGGATCCTCTAAGTGTGGATTCTGGTTGATTAAAGCTGTTCTTACCTCTTTACACCTGCTGGGGTCTGTCAGTCCTTTGGTAGCTGCTGAAGGCACCTGATGTGTGGCCACTGTCCCCAAGCTTGATACGAGTCACAGAGAGAACAGGGGAGGAGCAGGAAATAAAAGGGTGATTGAGACCTGGGGGGCTCGGAGGGTTAACAGGGGAATCAAATGAGAAAGAAATCCTAATTATTTCAGCAGTCAAAAGCACTGACTCACCTTACAAGGCAGAGCCAATCCGATTCCATCACCACAGACATTTTCCATGTTTATTTTCTCGTCTCCTCAGACTCGCAGGAGAACGTGGGGGATCCCATTCCAGGCCATCTGGCATTAGTGTGAGAAATACAGTGAGAGATATTACACAGTTGTCTCAGTGACTCCCTTCTGGATGACAAATTCACACATTCTCCTGGTAGATTTGTTTTTTTCCAGGCTTTTCCCACCCATGACTACAACCCCCAGGAGATTTGGCCATTTACAGCCCCGAGCTCAACCAGCTCTTGCTTCAGGTGCCTTTTGAGAGCTGTGGTTCCAGTGGTTGATAGTCTGAGGGCTGCCTGGAGCACCTGCCCTTGGTGGGTCTCAGCTGCTGGTAGGTGATGGTGTAACTGCACTGACCATCAGCAATAAGCCAGAACTTGGCTCCTTGGCTGGCAGTTGTACATTTTTGCTCCATTGGCTTTCCCAGCACTGTGAATTCAGCCCAAATGGGGTATAACTACGTCATTACCCCACTTTGTGCAGAGAGCAAGCCCTGCTTGTCCTCAAATCTCAGTGACACTCCAAGCTCAGCCGAGATCCCTGATCCCTGGCATGACACTCTCCTTGCACCTGCTGTTTCTTCCACCACACTCTTGCATTTGCCTCAGAAAGACTGAAAGAAAATGAAAATAAGCTCCCATCCAAATTTCCTTCTCCTCCCCAGGCAAAGCTGCTCCGTGGATCTCTGAGCAGAGGCAGCTGTGGGAGCTCCCCACGCCCCAAGCTGTCTCCTAGCAATAAGGAAGATGTAAAAGCCCTCCAAAGAGCTCCTCCCTCCATCTCTTCTCACCGACTCACGCTGTACAACACAGTTTTGGGGCTTTTGATAGATTCTTTCCTCGCTTTCTCCCAGCAAACCGGCTCACGCTGCGTGTGTCAGGTGAAATGAGGCAGCACAGGCTGAATTCCAGCACAGAGGAGCATCCCAGGTGTCCTCCCAACCCGAGTGCATCTCCCATCTTGCTGACACAGCAGAAGGAGTGCTGGGGTGATTTGTAGTTAGGAGGCATTTTGCACAACATTCCAGAGACACAAAACAGAAGGGAAAGGGGTTTGAAGGCGTCCTGGCTTTGGAAATTGGGAATCCCCCATTCAAGGTGATGGAGTGATGCAGTGGGTGTGAGGGAAGAGCTGTGGGGTCTGAGCTGGCAGGGGGGTTCAGCAGCAGGAAGAGAGGAGCAGGATTCCTGCTGTGCTGGTGGATTGGCACCATCTCCCAGCCCAGCTGCCACGGACTGTGGGACAGTCCAAGACAGAAACAATTCCCTGAAACACAAACACAGCTCAATGGCCCAATCTGCCCCAGCCCAGGAGAAGCACCTAGACATGTTCCTGAGCCCCCACACAAGTTCCTCATCTTTTTCTTTTCCCAAATAATCCTCACCCTCCAACTCCAATTGAAAAATAGATAAAAATAGTTGCTGAGAACTCTAATGAATTATGCAATGGGCATATGCTCTGCCATCAGATCTTGATGTTTACTGGAGCTGATGTCACGCAGGAGATGGAAGCCTGGCCTGTGCTGGGAAGGATCCCAGCTCTCCACAAGGATTCTGGGTCACATCTCCCAGCTCCGAGCGGGCGTGGGAGCACCTGGGAGAGCAGATGGCTGGACAATGCAGCTACCACTGGTGGGTTTAATTTTCCTGGATTAAGAAGCGAGTACCGTGCAAGTAGTTTGATTTGCTAAAGATGCAGCAGCAGCCCTGGCACAGGAAAGCCTTCCAGAGCTCCGAGGGTGAAGCACCTTCTCCCAGAGCTCCTGGGAGTGCTGCACATCTCCAGGCAGCTCACTCACCGGCTAGTTCCCAGTTCTTGCCATTTTTATCACTTATCTCGAAGAAATACCCTGCCAAAAAGAAAAAAAAATAAGAGACAATTTAAAATCTACCTTCCAACCCCCCGAAGCGTGAAGTGACTGTATAAAAAAAAACCAGGCAGAACAAAAATGTGTAATTTATTCGCAGTTCTTCCTGACTGCATCTCCTTGCCGTGGTGAACTGGCAGATTTCAGACCTGCTGGCTCCAAACCAAGGCTCTCCCAGAGCATCTTCATCCAGCATTGCCTGATGCAGAGGATACACCGTGTTCCACAGAGCTGCAGCTCCCTCCTGCTGCCCTCCCCCAGGTGACCTGGCTGCCAGCCCCCACCTCGGCTCCTGCTCCTGCTCTCCCTCAGGAATGCAGCTGGAGCTCCTCAGGAAGTCCCAGCTGGCAGCACTGAGCCCTGGGAACTGGAAATCTGAACCATCTCCCACCAGGAGCTCTCGAGGCTGAACTTATGGATGAGTCTGGTCCTGAACAGTAAATCAGGAGTGAAGTATCAGCCTGGAAAAGGAACTGCCAGCCTTGACAGCTTCAATCTGAAAGGATTAATTAGCCAACAGCACAAAACCCCAGTGTTTCAGAGATGGATACATGGAAATTTATTCCAAGTGTAACTCTTGCCTTCCACTGAAATCCATTAGGAATGGGTTTATCCGGGAGGGGACATAACACATCACTACAATTTCATCCCTAACCCACACAGAGATGTGAAATTATCACCAGGGGTCTGGGATTTACAATTCATAACTGAATTTCTTGTTTCTCTATAGAAGGGCACAGCAGGATTACGTGGAGAAAATTCCACATTCCTGTATTGAATTCCAGTTAGGGGCAGCTTCGAGAGAAAAATTAACCAGAGTAGCGAATGGGTTATAATAAAACAACACTGATACTAAAATAAAAAGGGAATTACTCTGTTACTTTCACACCTATCAAATTTAGAGGGAGAAAAAAAAACCTCCAGCACCACTGTGTGTATTATCAGGACAGTCAATGAGACATGAAACAAGGGCGAACTCCATTTGCGTGGGCAGAGAGCCCAGTTTGGAAGTAATTGCTGTAGTGGTGGAGCAGCTGCAGATACAGCCAGATCAAATCCAAAGATCAAACGCTTATTTCATTTTGATAAAAGTCATTAAACCACAAATCAACTTACTTTGGAGTACAGGCAGGAAATAACTCTGTATATACCATCTGCACATAACTCTCCCCTAATAAATTAAAGCAGTGACAGCAGATCTCTTCTGTGAAATCCCCCAAACTTATATTTCATTAAGTATCAACATTTCTCATTTAGATTTTATTTAGCAGATAAGCCCCTGCCCCACGTTTCAAAGCAGAGCAGAGGATTTCTGGGCTGAGTGGGTGTGCTGGGATTGTCTGCCTGGACAGCTCAGGACAGCTGAGAGCACGACAGACCCTCTGCTCTGGGGCTCGGGAAGGAACAGCATCGAGGGCTGAGCTGCAAAATCCAGGGAGCACCAGGGAAGTGGGACTTCTCCAAGGGTAGTCAAACCATGAGCAAGAGCATAAAGAAAATGTGGAATGTGGCAGCTGCATCAGAACAATTTAATTACTGCAATGCACTTTCTGCAACGCCTTCGCTCAGTGATGGAATGAGCCCTTGGAGAGCTCCTGGGCATGGCCTGGGATGCTCCAGCAGGAACAGCCTCTGGAGCTGCTGCCACCCCAGCCGACCCCTGGAGCATCCCTTGGGTTGGCAGGATTTGGGAGATGGATTTCCCAGCAGTGGCACCAGTGATTTGGAGATTACAGACAGTTAATTAATTACATGATTCCAATACAGCCCATGAGGCTCCTGGGGCTTCTCAAGGGGCCTGATGGAGGTTAAGCCTGAGATCCAACACCAAATGAAGAGCCTTCCTGTACTTAGTTAGGCTTGCCTAAACTCATGTGGGCTTGGGAAGAACTCAGGACTATTCTATGAGAGCCAAATCATAACTCTCACCCTTTTTGAATAGTTTTTTATTCTCCCTTTTAGCTCATTGGGATTGAAGTGCAGAGTTTTTGGACCCAGTTCTCTGCAGTTGGGCCAGAATGTGGCCCAGTTATCTGCACCTAAACCCCAAATTTCAGCTTTCATGCTGTGAATATAACAATCAATCTCCAACTCTTTCTGCCTCTTTACATAATGGGTTGTGCTGGAGTGTCTGGACCTGCCAAGCTCACACCACTGGTGCTCATCAAAACCTTGAGAGACCAAAGAGCTTATTCACCTTAATAAATTAATCCATTTTTCTAGACCAGGAATCAGTTTGTTGATTTACTCTAATACACCTCCCACAGGAGCCCCTGGTGGTCTAATGGAAAGGCGCCGCGCTGTCACCGCGGAGACCCGGGTTCGATTCCCGGTCAGGGCCACTCCCGGGTAGGTGGGGCTCGTTAGCCCTTAAAGGCAACCCACCTACGTCCTAAGGACCTCGCTGCCACCGTCCAAGCTTGCTTGGCCCCGGCAGATGAACCTTAGGATTAAAGGGTGGGCTCAGTTCCGCGCACACTGTGTCTCACCTAAAAAATCCAATGCGCAGGCTGGAAGGTGGAAAGACCTTCCCCGGATCTTCGCTCGCGAAGACTGGCCATTATATATTACACCTCCCACAAGAGTTAATTAATTCACTGTTACCTGCACCCTTCAGAAAATCTGTGATTGGTGGATTTAGAGCTAAAAAGTTCATTATTAAAGCCATGACTGACAAAAGGTTATCAAGATAATGCAGAACTAATGGACAGATCATGACATTTTCATATAATTCTTTTTTTCCTGGTAATTATTTTTTATATTATAGAAGGACTCACCTACTGGTCCTTTGTTGAGCTCTCACCATTCCTGGGATGGGGTTGTGTCCACAGAGGATCCTCATGGATTTAAGGTCAGGAATACGCATTTTTGGCAGCCCTTTGCTGTCCCACACACACTCTTGGAGTGAGTCTCCCTTCCACCTGCATTAATGATTTGATTGGAAAAATTTGCCATATAAATGGGGCTTATTTCTAATCCTCACATTATTAGAATTCTTCGCAGCCAGGAATGATTCTGGAAGATAAAAAGAGAAGTTTTAAATGAGTTTTGAAATATTCTTCTGAAAACTAATATAATAGCATAACTCTGGGATTTTTTAATAAAAACCCATCAATTTGAATTACTAGATATTAATGGCTTTGCTGTCTATGCTGAGCCTTGAGATGTTCTCACTTCAAGCCAAACTTTTCAAACGTTAAGCAGGAAGGAAGGGAGTTGGTCTACAATGCACCATCATCAGAGAGCGAGGCAGAGTCAGCTACCAGAGGTGATGATATGAATAATGACATTCCTGCTGCAGGAATTTAATTAGACTGAAAAAGAACTTGTAGTAAAGATGTCACAATAGCTCAAGACAAAATGAAAACCAGTCCAAAGACATTGAGGCCCTAATTAGTTTGGGAGTAGCAGATTAAAGATAAACCTGGAGAAACTGGTGGAGTGACTGGCTATCAGGGGCCAGGAGAACGTGGAGTGTCACGTTGGATTTTTCACTTTTCGATGCTTTTAGAGAAGACCAAGTGGAGGAAGGAAAAAAAAAAAAAGATAAAAATACAGGAGCTGATTTCATTCCTTTCTTGAAATGATCAAACAATTTTGCTTTCAGTAAAGCCAATGACAGTCACAAGCCTTGGCTGTTGACACTGATTTTTTTCCTGAACATGCTGAAATAATGAGCTGGGTGACACCTTGGTTATATATGGAAAACAGCAGCTCTGTGTACACACAACATTCAATTTATGTGCAGTGCCTTTTGAAAAACGAGGGAGAAAGGTCTTTCTGATCAGCCACAATAAGTTATTTTCGCGGTGTTGGCTCGTTCTGTGCAAGACAAATGAAAGGAATAACAAAGCAGGATGTTCACAAAAGAGCCAGGACGGTTTTCAAGCTCCCGGTGATTGATCTGGATGTGCTCACATTGAGGGAGGAAGAAAAGGAATCTATGCAAAAACATTTTGCATTCACCACTAAATGGATTGCAAGGCTGGGGGATTTTGGGAGAGCTTTTCCGGCCCTGCCTGGCTCCAGGGTGTCCTTGATGTTGGGGTGTCTGGCTGCTTCCCACCCCCACCACCGGCAACAGCAAACTCCTGGTGGCTTTGCACAACCTAAACATGGAATCCCAGACTGGTTTGGGTTGGAAGGACCTTAAAGCTCATCCCATTCCACCCCTGCCATGGGCAGGGACACCTTCCACCAGCCCAGGTTGCTCCAAGCCCTGTCCAACCTGGCATTGGACACTGCCAATATATTGACCAAGCAAAACCAGAAGTCAAACACTTGGGTCACTCAAAGAACCTCATTTTATGTTCTTACTAAAGGCAGAGGCCTGAAGGAGGAAGCAGGTTCACCAGGCCAAAATGCTGGGAAGCTGCCAGCTCTGACCTGGTTATCTCTCCAGCGTCTCCCTGACCCTCTGAACCTTCATTAATTCCCACAAATTCTCTCCCTGATTGAGGTGTCAAAGCAAGTCATGGCTTGAGGCCCATCCTCCACTGCCCAGTACTATTCATTTAAAACAAATGTTTTAAATATTCATTTAAAACAAAAAGTAGGGATAAAAATCCCGAGAAGACAATAATGTCCTGTCTGCCTGATTTGGAGAAGGGCTCTCACCCCTGCATCCCATGGGCTGGATTTAACAATCAGGTTTGATTTCACAGAATACATTTGCTTCTGTTTTATCCCAAGTGGAACAGACTCAGCCAATTAGGGAAATTCAAAATTAGGCAGAAAATACATTTAGTGGAAAAAGAGAAGGAGCAGAGGCTATTTTGAGTTGTGATTCAACTCCATTCCTGCTTTAAACAATTCCTGCACCAAACCCCACCTAAAACATGAGTATAGTGAGCAAGGAGAACGAAAGCTGTCCAAAATTTGCATCCAAAGGGGTTAATTTGCTGGGTTGCCACCTCAACCCTCATTTCCCCTCTGAAGAGACACCCACCAGCCGTGCCAGACCCTACCTGGGCACACCCTCAGTGCCTCGGCAGCACCAGCACACCGTGGCTCGAATGGAAGCATCCTGCACTCTGGAACTGTTCCACAATTCCTGTCTGTGACCTTCCTCAAGGACAGGGATATTTCCCCCCTCTCTAGGGCGGTGCAAAATGCTGCTCTCAGCCTGGCAGTGCATATGGTGCTCCCCATGCCATCCCCGTGCCACATCCCTGCTGGCCCCGGGCTCTCAGGGCAGGTGCAGGAGCAGACTGTGCTGCACTGCTCATTCTGCTCCATTATTCACTCTCCACTCTCCTCCCCCCTGGCTCCACTCATGCTGTTTTCCTCTTGGTTGCATTGTTCAACCAGAGTATGAAAAGCATCCTTCAAAAAGTTACATCTGCCAGGCTTTTCTTTTCACCTTCTGCAGTGGCATAGAATAGTTTGGGTTGGGAGGGACTTGTAAAAGCATCCAACCAACCCCCAAAAGAAGGCTTTCCACCAGTATTTAAACATTTTTCACGATGGAAAAGGAGTAAATGACATTATACACAGCCCTGTAATTCCATGCATCCCTCACACTGTGTCTCTCCCTGCTTGAGGAATCCCCCTCCCTCACCTCTGGAGAGCTGGAGGCACAAAAAGGAAGGTGCCACCCCAGCCAGCTGCACAGTCCAGCCTCTGGGGGGGGAGATCAGCCTGTGCTGGCCCAGCCCTGGCTGCTCCCTCCCTGCCCTGACATCTCCACATCACTCAGCCAACACCAAGAGCATCTCTGAAAGCCCAGTTCACTCAAATCCCCTATTTTAATATCAAGGTCCAAGTCAGAGCAGAGGTTTTGGAGTTTATTCTCTTTAACATCTTCTGTAAAATTAATTACTGGTCACTTGACAAAATAAATTGACCTTATAATGAGGTTTCTGAAAATGCAATTGGTGTCATTCGTTAAATTACTCTCTGTACACAGTATCAAGTTCTTTCCTGCCTTACATCTCCCCTAATGCTCTACTCAGAGAGTGTGAGGCTGGAAGAATTTCACCTCTAATATATAAGTGGGATGCACTTATTTCCCTGGGGAACTGACCTGAGCCAGAGCATTGGCTATTTATAGCACATTTGAAAATAAATTGTGAGGGAAAAGGGTGGAAGGGCTGTTGGGAAAGGCTCTATTTGTTGATAAAACTGGAAAAAGAGGTAATATAGCTGTGGGTTCCCATCCAAAGTTACCTTCACAGTGTGCTATAAACTTTAAATTATTACTCAAACTGTGTAATTCAGAACTAAGGCAGCTCCAGCAATCCCAGCCTGGTTTGGGTTGGAAAGGACCTTAAAGCCCATCCAGTCCCATCCCCTTCCATGGGCAGGGACTCCTTCCACCAGCCCAGGGTGCTCCAACCTGGCCTTGGACACTTCCAGGGACGGGGCAGCCACAGCTTCTCTGGGCACCCTGTGCCAGGGCCTGCCCACCCTCCCAGGGAAGGATTCCTTCCCAATATCCCATCTAAATCCACCCTCCTCCAACTTAAAGCCATTCCCCCCGTCCTGTCACTCCAGGCCCTTGTAAAATGCCAGGAGGGCTGGGATGGGAGCAGAGACCTTCCCCAGCTCAGAGCTGGGACACAGCAGGATGGTGATGAGAGCACACAGAGCATCTGTGACAGCAGCCCTGGAGGATTCCCTGCTGGAAGGAAGGAGCTGGCTCACTTCACACCAGCACCCAGCACGGCCAGCCAGGCTGGAGGAGCGGGAGAGAACAACTCACTGAAGTTATTTGGCAACACAGATGGGCCCTGAGTCATTTCTTGGATCTGCCTTCAAACACAGTGTGACAGTCACAGCTACAGTCAGGTTTTGGAAGAGCCTGGCAAGGAGTAGACAGTGCTAAATGTGCCAAGTGTCCTCTGACCTTCTCCCTGTCCTGTTTTCCCGCTGCTCAGCCCTGCCTGCTGCAGTTGCTGTCAGCCAAGCCAGTGGCACCACTGCAGCCCCAGGGACCACTTCAGTCATTGGCCTGGAGGGGGTTTATTCAGGAAAATGCAGGAGAGCTGAGGAAAGCTCAGTTTGAGCTGACTCACTGGCTCACCTTTCTGACTCACAGCTGCACAGGGCCTGGAGCAGAGGGACAATCACAAACTTCCATCACTGCTTCCCAGGGACATGGACTTTGGAGCATTCCTCGTGAGCCCAGAGCATCACCTGCTCGTGGCACTGCTCTTCTCCCTGCCACATTCCAGCTGGAATTCCAACTTTTATCAGCAGAGAAAACCAGCCAGAATGGCACTTGAACACAGAGCAGCTCAAAGCCACCACACCAACTTCTGTGATGAAATACTGATAGAAAACTCTGGAAAAGCTTAAAACCACTCCTTTTTTATATACAAATCTCTTTTTTTTCCAACTGTGGCCTGGTGGTACCAGGTCACTGTTCTAACTTTTCAAAATAGGCAAATATATCTTGTCAAAAATTTCTTTTTTTTTTTTTTCAGTTTGAATTTTTTAGATTTTTTTTCCCCCACTTGTCATTTTCATCAGTACCTTCTGAAATTTTTTCTCTTATTCTGAGCACATTATAACTTTTCCATCTTCTTTGTCCTGTGGCAAAAAGGAAAAGGACACCAAACAAATTGGAAGTAGAATTTTCTCGCACCAGAGTCACCCAAAGCCACGATCAATGTTCTTCCAACAGGAAAAGCAGCAGAAAGCAAAGGCTTTCATGAAACGTTCATTGGGAACAATATGCTGACAAAATAGTTCTTCAGTCAAAACTTTTCCCTGGGCCTGCTTACCACGGCACGTGTGTGTGTTTGGGACCTTGTTTCTGGAGTACCAGAAGGCCAGAGGGGTTTGTCTCATTTAGCTGCCTTTTTCTGTTTTCAGAGCAGATTCTGCATATCCCTCGAGGTGTCTGCAGTCACTTCATGGAGCTGCAGAAACTCTGCTGCTCCTGGATGTGCTGCCTCCAGCCCTGCCCAGCTGCAGGTCTGGTGGAGCCCCACGGGCACAGTGGTGTCCCCAAATCCCACAGCTCCACCTGGGCAAGTCCCTCCAGGAGCAGAAATCACACCTGAACCCACCACCCAAGGACACCTGCGCTGCCCACAGGCTGGGGCTTCCAAACCTTGGTGGTGCAGCTGGTTTGCTTCTGTTTGGGTGAGCTGTGAAACTGCTGTGTGTCAATGGTCAGAGAAACCTGCTGCAACCAGGTAAAAACCGTGATGAAAGGACTCAAGGGGCATCCCAGGAGCCATCACTAATTATTTGGTATCTAATGAATGACACAATTTGCTTGTTGACCTCCTTGTCAAACTATGCAGAGCTCAAAGTAATTAATAAAAAGCTGAAATTACCAAGGGCCTAAGATGGTTTGGTTGACTTTGAGCCAAGGTGGTGCCCACACTGACTCTGGCACGTTGTGAGCTCAGGGACACAGCCCAGAGCACAAAATGCTGCTCAGATGAACTTGGCAGGGCAATGTGAGTGAAATATCCTGGCCTGAGGCGTTGCCACCTTGCTGGGATGAGATCCAACCCTCATGTCAGGGATGAGATCCAACCCTCATGTCAGGGATGACATCCAACCCCTCGTGTGGAGCCACACCGAGCAGGGTAAGGAGGGAGCAGGGACACACTGACCCCCAGCCAGGAAGGGACAGCCTGCCTTTGTGCAGGTGGCAAAGCCCACTGACAGCTCCAACCATCCCTGGTGCCCTCAGGGAAGTGTTTCAGATGGGAATTTTCATGGTGTGAATTGCTCAGAGACTCGAGAGCCCTCCTGGGCTCCTGAGGGGTAAATGAAACCCTGGGCAGGGTCTGCAGTGGTTCAAGTGAATAAAACCTGGGTGTGCACTGCAAGCACACCACACCCCCACCAAGGGTGGCCAAAGTAGAGGACATCTTCCCCAGGGAACACACTCACTGCTTCCCCTGAGCTCTCTCTTTCTCAATTTCACCTTTTATTGACAGATGCAAAGAAAGACTAATGAACTATTGATAACCCTGGCACAAAGCATTATTAGACAAAGCAATTTCATCTGGGGGGCATTGATCTACGTGTCACAAGCAGAGTACAAATGAAAATAGGAGTTAGGATGGATGAAGTTGAATGCTAAATAGGGGGTCATCTCAATTCCTAATTTGTGCCCTAAATGCACTTATATATACATTTACCTGTACATCTCTATATTCTACATAATTATAGATATACTTGCAGATTTTTTTGATAGCTCATAGTATTTGGAAAGAAACTTTAAAGCAACTCAAATAATAAAACAAGGCTGATGTTTTGAATGACATGAACATGACAAAAGATCACAGTGAATAGTTGAATTTGAACCAGTGATTCCCAAACACACACACAAAAAAAAGAGCTGTCCAGGCACAGATGGAATCCACAAGTGAAACTGTGTGACAAGAAGGGGTTTGTCCTAACCCAGCTCAAGCAGAGTATCTGAAGTATGAAATTTGCTGGCCTGAGGGAGAGAGGCTGGAACAGAAGGAGGGGTTTGACTGTCTCAGCCCACAGACCTGCCGACCATCAGCAGAGCTGGAGCCCATCCAGGGCCAGCAGAGCTGCTGCTGAGCATCTGTGAGGGAACCAGCCCTGACCCTGAGCACCAGGCACACGCAGCAGCCAAGTCTGAATTCTCCTCTGCCGTGCCATTCGGTGACATTTGATTTGGAGGCGACTGCTGTGGAACCCAGGAGGGATCATGGAAACAGGAGAGAGATTTGTCCTCTACCCCTGGTGAATCCACAGGGACATTTCAGAGTCTAAGACATGGAGACCTGACTTTGTGGGCTTTCCACTGGCAAATAGGAGCCAGCACCCTGCTTCTGCCTTGAAAAGCTCTCTGCAGCTCCCCTGGTGAGTGATCAGTCACCTCCTAAAGGCACTGCCAGTGGCCTCTCCACCAGCACAATTAACCCCTGCAGATCACAAGCTGAGATAAAATATGAAGGGCACCTACCCAAGTGCTCTGACAGTGCTAAGCCAAAAGCAATCCTCAGGATTTCCAGGAGAAGCCTGTTCCACTTGTGGTCTCAGTCTGGAAAATAATAAAATAAAACTGCACTTTAATAAACTTTCAGAGGAAAAACGGTTGGCTGTAGTTGGGTTTTTTTTAATACAAGCCACAACAACAGGGCACTTGCCCTTCCTTAGGCTCTGTTACACATGACACTCAAAACCCATCTCCAATACTCCAGGGATTAAATTATTTTCTGAAAGCCAACTCATTCCCATCATTATTACTGGTATAAAGCTGTGAGGTTTTTTTGTTCCCCCTCTTTTTTTTCTTTTTTTCCCAATGCTAGAAATAGATTAAACTGACGCTTCAGGACGCTGGAGCTGCAGTTTCAGCTGAGCTCTGTGGTTCACAGAGATTTATCAAAAATGACAAGATTCAACATCCAGGAGATGTCTCAGAGTGCCCAGGAGCTCAGAGGAGATGCAGCAGTTACAAGAGTAACCAGACAGAAACGAGAAAGTGTTAGAAAAAGAAACATGTGGTCCTTGAAAATCAAAGCTCTGACAGGAGTGAGGAGATGCTGTGCTGACCAGACCTGGCCATTAAGTGGGCAAAGAATCACCTTCTGCCTCCTGTAAATGAACAAACAGGGAAAGCAGCCCTTCCTTTCACTCCAAGAGCTGTTATAAACTTCCTGGCAGGTACCTGTCAGAGCCTCTGAGCTGCAGAGCTGTTCTGTTCCATCTGCAAACAGGGTGGAATTAGCTGGAAGTGATGAGTGCCTGTTTAGGATCAATTCTTCCCAGTTAAACCATCCCTGGAATGGCAAAACAGAACAGTCCATAAGTGCATTCTCCTTTTCACCCACGGGCATGTACAGCAAATTATGATCTATTTGAGAAAGGTTAGGTTGGAATATCTGGACAGTAAATGCTTAAGAACCACAAAATTACCTTCTGGGCATAATCAGCCTTTGCTTGGACAGCCCACTCTGTTTAAAGAAGTACTGCTGGCTGAGAACCACCCTGCACCCAGACTGCAGCATTGCCCCTAAACCTGGTGTAACACAGGTGGTGGAGGCACTGATGGACACTGGATCCTACCTGAGCAGAAGCAGCAGCATCCTTGGAGTGTTTGGAGCAGGAGCAAGTCCTTCCTCAGAGATAAAATCCCAAGATAAAGTCCCTGGGGCTGTTCCCAAGTCAATCAGAGCTCTGCTCTGCAGGAAGGGGCTGGAGCTGGAGACAAGGGCAGGGAGAGGAACCCCAGCAAGACATGAGCACACCAAGTTTCTCCTTGTAAATAATCACTCTGAGAAACAGAAGAGATGCTTATTACCAAGCAATAATTGCAAAACAAAAAGAGATCTGAAAAAGGAACCTCCATGTTAAAAATGTCCTGCACTCAGGTAGGATCCTGTAGGTTTCCTAATTCCTTTAGAGAGGCCAAAGGCAAATTTCTCCATGAAGAAACAATGCCCCAACCATCCTCCCCTCCCTCCCATGAGCCAGGGTCTACTCCTGTACAGACCTGGAAACAGCCTGAAGGAATTAGGCTAATCCAGACAAGACTGAAATGGAAAGAACTCCCACAAGACCTTTGGGAAAACTTAATCCAATCTTCTCTTGTGAACCAGATATTATTCCCCTTTTACTTGCCTTCAGTGGTGATAAAGTGCAGACAGAGGAGATAAGGGACTCGCACACCTCCCATTTCCCCACTCGCAGTAAATAAACTCCTCACCTTTGCTTATCCTCCAGCCCGGTATGGATTTCCTTTTAGCAACCTCCTGAATTACAATCAAATTAGACTTTCAGGGCCATTGAATTGCATGGCTTGCAATACCTTAATGGGTTGTGTTCTGGCTGCTCAGGAGGGACTTGTAATCCCTGTCCTCTCCCATATTTCAGGGGATGCTCAGGACGTGCCCGGTGCTGTGTGGGACAGCCAGGCCCTCCCTCAGCAGGGCAGCAAACAGGGCACGGGCCACTGAGCTGCTCCTGGAAGAAAAATGTTACTAATGGACGTTTCTTCTTTTGCCTTGCAGCGGCAGTGCAGGGTTTGGATGGCCCAGTAACTCCCCAAACTCCTTCAGACGTGTCCGGTGTGATTTAACGGCTCACGGTCCACACACCGGGTACCAACTGCTCTGCACAGCATTGGGAAATAAATGGAAATATTAATGCCCAGAAATGGTGCAGAGTGCCCCATTCCTCCTGCCACCCCTGACAGCACAGCTGGGAGATGAGCTTTTATCCTGCAATAAAGAAGTGCTTGCTTTGTTAGTTATGGGCTGTGCAGCAGAGGAAATGTGGTGTGTGGTCTGTAGCTGTGCTGGGGAGATCAATGGCTGAATTATTAAAACGTTTAGGCAAGTGAAATAGGAGAGAGGAGAATAAACACAGCCTAAAAGTCTCAGTTGTCAGCACTGATTGCTCTCCCCTGCCATTTGGACAGTCAGGATGGTGTCCAAGGTAAATGTTGCTTCTTCAACTGGGCAGACAGGGGGAGAGGCACTTGCTTGGCTCTGGAAATCAAACGCTTTATCCTGACTTCAAATAACCTTCACAAGTAACTTTTCCTTCTCCCTCCTCCAGTATGCATCTGCTATCATGTAATTACACCGAGGAACAAAATAACTACTTCTAAAAGGTACTTCCTAATAAAATAACTTCTTCAACAAGGTATTTCCCAGAGCAGTTCAATGAATACATGAATAGGCAAGTGAGCAGTAGATTAAGGGATTATTGACATAATTGAGTGAGAAATAAAACAAAGTATTGAGATTATACTTTGAAACAGTGGATGAATTCTCTGCAGCTGAAAGCAGGTTCCTTTTGGAGGGTGTATATGGCATCTCCAGAAGAAGATCAGAGTGGCTATCTCTGAGAAGCTCCAGTATCTATAGAAATCAGGGTTATTTAAATTCCCTCCTCCCTTTGTTCCATCCTGCTCTTTGTAAAGGGTTATCGTGTTTTCTCCACTCATATTCCCAATCCCTTCTTTAAGGTCCCTTCCAGCCCAACCCCTTCTGTCATTCTGTGACAAACCTTGCACTAGTTTTTTTACCTCATTGAATGTTTCTGATCACAAAAAAACCTGCCACAGATGTGTTCTACCTTAAAACAGCCACGCTGTGTGAACAAGAGGGGAAAAAAATGGGTGAATATTAAAATAGGCATCATGAATATTCAGATACATTTGCAAATTAAGAGACTTCAACTGTGTCCTTGTCCTTTGTGCTTTTTTCCACAAATATTGAAAGGAGAACTCTCCTGGGAGAGACGTTCATCAGCACAGCAAGTTTTGAAGAAGGAACCCACTCAAGCTACGGCAAATGTTCACAACGTGAATATTTTGTGTATTCACAGGAGAAAGATGATTCTGGGAACCTCCAATTAGGCAGCAGAAGCTTTTCCTATGGTCTCCTCAGAAAAGAACTAAAGAAACAGCCTTATTTGGATAAATTTTTCAGCACAGATTTCTGAATAAACGTGAGAAAAAGACAAACTTCACCCATGAATTATTCCCTTAGAACTGTGAGGGGGGGAGATGCCACTTGGAGCCAAGCTGGGAGCAGCAGCTACAGTGACTGCACAGTGTGCAACCAGCAGCTGAGCAGCTCTGGTTGCCTGAAAGCTCTAAAGTGGAGCCCCCAGCCCAAGAATCTTCCTCATTGATCTCTAATAACCTGATTTTTCCTCTCTGTGCTCAGCCTGAGCTGCTGTTGGGGCGTGCACAGAGACCCAGCCCTGCCATGGTGGTGTCACCACGATCCAACCTCCCACCTCTGAGTGAGGGAGCCACATTCTTCATCCTAAAACCAGACAGAACCATCCCTTTTCCTTCCACAACCACCCTGTGACCACTGCAGAGGATGCTGTTCTGTCAGTGCCTCTGATGAGACACCTCCAAACACCAACACAGCCCAAAGCATCAGCAATATCCCATATTTGCCCCACCAGTTTAATCATCCCGATGGAAGGGCATGAAAACCTCCCCAAGCAGTTCCACCTGGGAACATGAAAAGCCATGAAAGGTCTTTGGGTGGGAGGTAACAACCCAAACAAAACGATTTCTGCTTTGCTGGTTTGAAAGGGGAGCTTTAAATATCCCAGCCTGGCTCTGAATTTTATTTCACTTACAGAATTTTTCAGTTTACAGAACGGCCCAACAAGGATAATTAGACCAGAAACAAGCCTGCCAATTCTAAATGCTCTCTGTCAGGCACATGGACTAACACCTATTTTATGAATTCCCTGTTTTTCAAGGGTGATACAGTCGTGTGTAGGTGGCTCATTTTTCCCTCCTCACATTCCCTTTGACAGTAGTTTGAAATAACATTCATCAAACAGTATAAAAAAAGTCAAAAGTAATTAATTAAGCAACCTAGGAGGAAAAATAAGATGTCTTTCCAACGGTACTTGGATTATTCAGGTTTCTAGTGCTGCATGTTGTAATTTCCTGGGAGGAAAAGGCAGAATAACGGTGTAAACCCTGCTCAGCCATGAAATGGCACATCTGGAGCATCACTGATGGGAAAGGAAGTCCTGAAACTGGAGAACTGAGACTTTCCTATTGAAGGTTTGCTCTGATTATCAGGTAATATGTATATGTATGTTCAGAATATCACTGCTGGCATCCCTCCTGCCCTCAGTCCTTGCCCCTCGTGGCATCACAGCTCAGCAAACACCCCCTGGAGTTCCTGTACCCCACTGCTGGCAGCTCCCACTGGTGACACAGCCCAGGGAACACAACATTCCAGCTGTCCTGCTCTGCCAGTGCCACGGAACCAAGGCATGGCCACCCCACTGCCCTCCCTGCATCCAGACAAAACAACCAGAGCACACCCGACACCCCCAGCAATCCTCCAGCTCTGAAGGAATCCTGATGCAATGGCAGATTTCTCACCAAATTAATTTCCACGGATCAAACCCAAATATCTATTTAAATAAAAATAAAAAAAAAAAAAGGTTATGAAAAGATGGATGCAAAGACCTCGGTATCTCTTCCTGACTGCTGGGCACACTGCCAGCTACTTTATTAAACACAATCCTCAGGTAATTCTAAACTTCATGTTCATATTATCAGCTCCTCCAGGTAATGCCACAGGAGAGGCCATGGATGTGGCAGCACCGGGGTCTGTGACTCCCAAGGAATCCTCTCGGTAGGACGGAGCCACCAGGAGGGATTAAGCTGGGATTTAGGCCAACACATCCTAATCTTTCTCCTCAGATGCTGCTGTTACCTGAGCAGTGGTTTGAGCATCCCTCTGTCCTTCATCCACCTGAGTTTAAAGGCTTCTCCCCCTTCCAGCAGCAGCCACAACACAAACAGGCTTGGCAGCAGCAGGACGTCAGCCTGACCAAACCTGCTCCACTCCAGGACCCTGGATTCTCCCTGTCTTCCCACATTACCTTGGGCAGGTCTACTAAAGCTGGATTACCAGCAGAGCAACCTCCCTTCTGCCCTTCAAGGGGGGGTGGGTGCTGACTCAGCACGTTCCCAACCAGGATCGATGCTCCATCTCCCTCTCTCTCCAAAGCACAATGGGAAATGCTCCTTCCAGGAGGCTCTGGAAGGCTTAGGCTGTAATTGCTTGTAAACCACTTAAGCAGTGAGTGATACAGAAATCCAGAGTGGTAATTGTAACCGAGGCTGGAGATTAATCTATTTTTGGCTTGTCAGCCGTGCTTATGGCCCCGGTTCAAGGCAGTCCCTGAAAACTGTAAAGTGTCCAAAAAGTGACAGCAAAAACACTTTGATTAAAACTATTCCACAGGCAAACCCAACCTTCAGGAGGCTCCCTGAAACATATTGCTCTGGCCTGCAGGAGAGACACTTGAACTTTTCATGGTCAGAGCAGGAGGCAGAGACCTGGGAAAACCAGTTTTATGTCAAATAAAAGGTGGTTTAGTTTTGGATTCCCAAAGCAAAACTGTGCTGGGAAAGTCAGTGCACAAAGGTAGTTGGAGTGTGCCAAGCAACTCTTGGTTGATCTCTCTATCTCCCAGTGACAGGCAGCACCAGTTTGCTGTTGGGTACCAGAAACAGCCTCCTTCCCCACAGAGCTGCAGCTTTTCCAAACTTTCCACCAACTTTCACTTTCCAGAGCCTCAAGGTCAAGATTAGCCTTTATTATTTTTTCCATCGTTTCCTTCCCATTTATTTAGGATTAGAGGACGTTGTGTCAATAAGGACAAATGAAACAGCAGGCCAATATAAACTCTGGCTGCTCTGTGAATGGGACTTCTATACACAGACTTCCTATGAAATAAAAAGTGACTGATGCCACAATATGCTTTAATTATTTCCTTCATAAACTAGCAAATTAAATTTTAAGAAGCTGGAGTTGTTACCTCTTATTAAACTGGGACTGAACCCAGAGCTGTAACTTTTAATGAAACTCCCCACACTAGAAAGCTTTGCTGTGATGTCAATAATTTGCAGCTTCCTGCCATGTCCAATTTCTCACCATGGGCAGGGACACCTTCCACTAGCCCAGGTTGCTCCAAGCCCTGTCCAGCCTGGCCTTGGACATTCCAGACACTTCTATCCTTACACAGAGGCTCCCATATTTTACCTGGGATTTTCCACTCGCTGTTATCATCATTTCCATCCCAGAGAGCAGCGCTGAGGATCCCAGTGAGGAGCAGGGCAGGACCAGGTAAGTCACAGCATCCCTGGAACACACAGACATTCATTAACACAATATTCAAGGGAAAAGTATTTCCACTAATTAAGCAGCAATAAAATCTCAAATTAGCAGAGAAGAAACAGAGAATGGCTGCTCTGGGAGTAGAATCATTGAATTATTTAGGTTGGAAAAACCCTCTAAGGCCATTAATCCAACACTGCCAAGGCCACTACTAAATAATGGCCCTAAGCACAACATCTACATGTTCTTTGAACACTTCCAGGGATGGTGACTCCACCACTGCCCTGGGCAGCCTGTTCCAATGCCTGATCTCCCTTTCAGCAAAGAAATTTTCCCTAATATCCAATCAAAACCTCTCCTGGTATAAGCTGAGCCCATTTTCACTTGTTACCTGGGAGAAGGGACTGACCCCCACCTGGCTGCCCCCTCCAATTTGCTTTGTAAAACACGATGATCCGTTCTGTTTTACATAATGGCACATTCTGGGGCCAATCAGCAAAACACTAAACCTGCACAAGTCACTGGCTCGTATTTTTGGCTCATGCCTCGAGGGAAGAAGAGCAGAACAAGAGCTGAGATTGAGGCAGCTGGTAAAAATCATAAAAAGGAATAAGACAGAGATGAGGAAACACTGAAGTTGCCAGGAGAAAAAAAGAAAGGAGCAAAGACATGGAAAAAAAGACTCTCAGTAAGGCAAAGTTTTCACAATTTCATAAAAATGTACAAGTGTAGCAGAGAGAAGGGGAGAACACCCTCCCAAGCAGTCCCTGCCTGGGCTGGCAGAGGAGCACACAGGTCATTTATTTCCTATTTCAAGCCCTGGTGGTTGATGTGCCCACCATGGCACGTCCTGCCCTCCCTCCCCAGCCCCCCTGTGACATCCATCACAGCTCAGCTGCTCACCAAGACCCTCCTGGTCACACACCAACAGTCCCAGGGGACATTTCCACATCCTGCCTTTGGCCAAGAATCCCTGAACCTGCTCCCCAACAGCCCATCCCTCCTGGAGCCAGGGCCAGGAACACTGACTTCTCCAAAGGGCAATTCCTCTGTTCTTAGTGGTGAAACTCTGCTGTGCTTTTTCTTCTTTTTCATTTTATCCCTGAGCTGAAGTGACTTTGGGCAGTCACAAAGAAATTTTTCCCTGTGCTCTGAACAGATGGTTGTTCCAGGAGTTACCAGGATCCTGGCAGTGCCAAACAGCCCTGACCTTCCTGAGCACCGCCACGGACCTTTTGTTGGGAGGAGAGGAACAAAGAACCACTCAGATATTTCCAGGTTTTTTCTGGATTATTAACCACAGCCCGTGGCAGTGGACAATGCAGGAACACACAGGGAAGCAGGAATGGCTCCTGGGGTCACTGGGCTCTTCTGGTGGTGCACAGACAATTCCAAGGTCACATCAGACCCCCCTGGCAGGAGCAGGAGAGCGGAGGGATGTGTTGTGAGCCCCTCCAAACCACCTCCAGCTCATCCTGCCCCAAGGCTTTGCACAGCCCAAAGAAAAGCCACAAAACATCCCAATCCTAAAGGGGTTTATCCACCAAGAGTCCAGTTACAATTTCTCAGCTATTAATAGCTGAAGTTCACCGAGAGCCTTCAGCAACGTGGGCTGGCACAGCTTTGGGGACCTTTGCCGACAGAGCCTTCAGAGGGAAGGCAGCTCATTTTGTTCAGCTTTTGAATTTTTTTTATAGAAATAATCCTATTTTTAAGATCATTTAAATATCATCTGTGCTTAGTTCTCCAGAAGCCACCAAAAAAAAAAAAAAAAAAAAAAAAATTCCAAGTCAATTTTTCTGCAGTTAAATCTCCATGTCCTTAATCTCAAGGAAGAGAGAGGCCTGTTACCTTCCTGGAGACAATTCTGCTTTTTTAGCAGATGTGAATTATTTTGTACCTGATTGTTGCCTATAAAGATATAAAAACTTCAGGGGCAACACCCAGGGAGCAACTCCTGCCACGAGATCAATACCTCATTATGGATTAAAGATAAAAGTTAAGCCTTAGTCCTTAGTTTCCAGATGACAAAGAGTGCCAGAGACACCCACGCCGTCGTTTGGGGGATTTTGTGCAAATTACTCAACTGACCTCCTTCTAAGAGCAGATGAAGAGCTGTCACCCTCCCAGCCAGCCCTGCCTGGGAGCTCTGAAGCATCACAGAGGGATTTGGAGGCGAGTCCAGCGTTAGGCAGAGAAGGGAACACAATAATCCCAGCTGGGGTCCCCTTGGATGATAAGAGGAGGATTGCAAGTGGGATGGAGTCAAAGGCTGAGTTTTGAAGACACCCATGAGTAGAAGGGGTTGGTTAAACCAGCTGGCTGCTGGAGCACTGCTTTAATGCAGGAGCAATTACAGAGCTGTGAAGTACAAGCACTTCTGAGTGAAATCCCTTCCATTCGGAAGACGCGGCGTCTGAGTGACAGAGCAGCCTGGAGAAAGGCAAATCCACTTCACAGCAACCCTGGGTCCTCTCTGCCTTTTCATGCTACTGAGAACCACTCATTACTGCTCTGAGTCAGAGGCTTAACTAATTCCCAGCAAAGCTCTGTATCCTGGGAAGCAGCAGGGAGGAGAAAGCCACGCTCAGGATGTGCCTCCAGCGGGACGTGGGCAGGGGAACCACCCGGCTGCTCTTTTACGTAAGGCACAACCTGGCAGGGCCAAAGGCTGAGGGGCCAGGGGAACAAACCCATCATTTAGGTTCAGAAATACTTACAGATCAACCTGCTCTAAGAACAGGGGGTGGATGGGCAGGAGGCACAGTTGCTGCTGACCACGTGGTTCATTAGACAATTGACAAGGGGAAACGGCCTCAAGCTGTGCCAGGAGAGGTCAGGTGGGATATCAGGAAAAGTTTCTTCACTGAAGGAGTGGTGAAGCATTGGAACAGGCTGCCCAGGTGAGTGGTGGAGTCCCCACCCCTGGAGTGATCAGAAGACAAGCAGAGGTGGCACTTGGTGACGTGGTTTAGTTGACATGGTGGTGTTCAGCCACAGGAACACTTTTCCAGCCTTCAGGATTCAACGATTCTGGGACAACCTGGAGAGAGAGAGAGATCCAAGGGAGTAAAAATGCAGCCCAACAGGTGGTACCAACAATCCCTGCTATGCCTGAAACCCAGTGATTTTCCTGCCTGGTGTCCCCAGTTTCCCATCATTTCTCACTGCTGATTTCCCCTCTTCATTGATTAATGATTGGCAGAAAACAGAAGAACTGAGAAGAAATGATGAGCTTCTCACCCGGCACACAGGGTAATGAAACCATCAAAGCAACAATCCAAACTCCACTAAGTGGAAATTTGGCCCTGCAAACATTCATCCTGTTTTTTTCCTGACTTCCACATTTTACTTCAGCTGTCAGAGCAGCGAGATGAAATAACATCCCATATTCACGTCGCCATCTGCATTCCAAAATCTCCTACTGATCGATGCAAGTGTCCAAAGAACACTCCCAATTTGTCACAATAACCTTCAAAACTTGACAGAAAATCATGCAAATGATTTCTTTCAGATCTCTGTGTATCTTGGGATTATTTATACTTTGCCAATACCACTCAAAACATTTTCCTTTGCATTTTCCGTATTTCTCAGAGGAAAGGTGGGATTGAGAGGTTAAACCCTGCAACGGGTTCATTTTGCTCTTTGTGCTCCTGCTTTGTGTTTGTGGACATTTAAGAAACACTGGTGTGACTGCACTTGGAGAACTACCAAGAAAATCTGTTTGAAAAGGCTTCAAACTGACACGTCTCAGAATATCAATAATCAAGCTGCTTTTACTCAATTCCGCTGCCTTTTTCTCTTTTATAAGAAATTTTAGATTTTAGTGGGGAAAATTACACTAATTTTTTTTTCAAGTCCTGAAGCTTTATAACTCTATAAACTTTCATTTTAGCCTTCAAAAAAATATATTTTAAGGAAAAAATAGGAAATGCCAGAGCTCTGAGTTCCCTGAGCAAGAGTGGGTTTAGGAGTCAGGGGAGAAGCTCATAAAGGTGTTTACTGGGGAGGTTGTTGCTGGCACTGAGCTGGTGGGTGAAGCTCACCCTGTGAGTGTTCTCAGCACCAGCTGGTGCCACCTCTCCTCTGGGAACACGTGGCCAGCTGTGTCCTGCAGGAATCCAGGGAAGAACCTGATCTGAGGAAGCAGCTCCCTGAGCTTCCACACAAAGGCAATTTGCTCAGCACAGAGCACGCCTGAAATGCATTCAGCATCGGGAAATGCAGATTACATTGCAAGTCTATAAAAAGCTCAGCTGAAATAACAGCTCCAGAGCTTCAGCAGGGACAGTTTTCTGGGACACTGGGCAGAGCACTGGGATGAGTTTGGAAAGGTCAAGCAGTAAGCAACTGTCTGGACAGATCTTAAGAGTGGAAGCTAATGAACACAAAAGTGAAGGAAGTGGTCAATACCCATCAGCAGCCACAAAACCAGGCCCTGTGCTCTGCAAAAGGAGCGTGAGGAATCAGTGGTGGACATGCTGAGAAACCCATCAGAGAACTCACACAACTTGCAGAGCAAATCCAGTGGCTGCTGCTTTAAATCCTGCATTTACATTAAAAATTCATCAGAGTATTTATAGCCAAGTTAAAACAAAACCCCCCAAAGCCCGGCTGGGGTTCAGGACCTGTTGCAATGGGCACGCCAGGGAGCAGCTGCTGGGGGTGCTGAGGGAGTGCTGAGCCCGAGGTGCTGCTGGCAGGGCTGGGCTGGTGCAGTGCTGCAATGCAGCTCTTGTGTAACCACCTCCCCCTGGAGCCGGGCACCAGCTCCACACGCTGCTCAGGGAGCCAGAGCCCTGGTGGGAAGGCAATGCCCCAGCCATGGAGGTGTTCCAGTGACTCAGTGCCCTGAGCCAAGGGGAGCACTCACTGCCTTTGGCTGCTCAAACACTAAATAAACCCCCCAAAACCCCCAGGGGAATGACTGCTCTGAGGAGTGGAGTGACCCCAGCTCAGGGCTGGCCCTTGGAGCTGCTCCACGGGGCTGGTGCTGTGTGGGACATTTCCAGAATGAGGGTGGGCAGGCCCTGGCACAGGATCCCAGAGAAGCTGTGGCTGCCCCAGCCCTGGGAGTGTCCAAGGCCAGGTTGGACGGGGCTTGGAGCACCCTGGGCTGGTGGAAGGTGTCCCTGCCCATGGCAGGGGGTGGGACTGGACGGGCTTTGAGGTCCCTCCCAACCCAAACCATCCTGGGATTCTGTGATCAACAGCTCCCACTCCCAGAGAACCCTCTGGGAAGTAGAAGCTCCAAATGTCAAAGAAAGAAAGGTGGCATTTGTCAACTTCATCGCTTTCCACAAATCATCTCCTCGCTCCCTGCCCTCAGGAACGTCACTGGTGGTGTGGCCGTGGCCCCCGACCCTCTGCTCTGCCCAGGAGGGCTGGAAGCTCCACCACACCCCATTCACCACAGGAAGGACAGATGTAGAGGGTTTGGGGGCTGTCCCTGCCCCTCAGGAATACACTGGACCTTACCTTGGCACAGAGCAGTGGCAATGCAACCTCAGCCGTGTGGAGGTGCCGATGGTTGCTGTGGATGTGGCTCGAGGCAGCCGGTGGGATTCCCCACTGCCCGAGGGGCTCAGTCACTCCAGCAGGTCAGGAGGCCAAACAACACCTGTGAACAGAAGGTGACCTTGGCTATACCTGTACAACTTCCATCTGCTCACTGAAAAGAATTAGAAAACCTAGAGAAGAACAGGGGTGTGTGAAGGAGCAGGGTCAGGCTCCTGAATTTCCCAGTGTTCTGGTCAACTCCTCCCAGAGTCTCCCTTTCATTTACCCACTTAATTGTTGTTAGAAATGAATGTTCTCGACAGCAGTGGATAGGAGGAGGTTGCAGCTCACCCAGACCACTGTAGGAATATCTCTTCTCAGCTCTGCCCATGGATAGCAAAGCTGTCCTTTGGTTGCAAGACCTCTTAAGGCTTGAAACTTCAGCTTCTCCGGAGCAAAACCTCTTCCAGCTGCACCAAATGGCTGCAGATAAAAGAAGCCACATTTCCCTTCCCTGCACTACAGAAATGCAGCAGAGCAGCTCAATTACCAGCAGTTACAGCACAGCAGGATGTACAGTTTTCTAATTGAAGACTCCGAGATACAAGCAATCAATAAAATAAAGAGAACATTTAGAAGAAATAAAAACATACCCTTGCATAAAATATATCCTCATTAGGAGAAGAGATGACTGCTCCAAAAAAAAAATCACCGAGGTGCTTCTGTGACAGGCAATTTTTAATCAAAGGCAGTTCTATGCAAATTAAGGACAGCAAATCTCTGCAGAAATAATAAAGTCTGGCTTAACAGTCCCATCCCTTTGCCTGTGTAGGTGCTGTGGATGCTCCTCTGGAATTGGTGCTGGATGGTGCCCTTCAAAGATTGTTGCATGTTTTCCAAAGCAAGGGCTTGGGGAAAAAAGAAAATAAAAATCATTAATAGAAAATTCAGGTTTTGAAGCAGTTCACGGAATGGATTTTCAAATATATATATATATAATTCTAATTAATGATCAGTGTGGAACACTGTTAGGGGAATAACACTGTGGACTCCTGTCAGAGTATATAAAAGTTTTAATCTTTGTTACACAACTCTCCAGTTCCACTTCAATTCCATTGACAGTTTACTGCTGGATATGGGACCTTTGGGAGACAAGGAAAATATTTTGGGGTGGGTTTTTTTTAATTATTATTTTTTCAAGTTCACCTTCAAGTTTTGGAAAATGTGGCTCCTGATTCTCCTCACTGGGATACAATTTAGAATTTTAGGGAAAATATATAATAAAATGTTTAGGTTGGAAAAGGCCTTGGAAAAAGCCTTGAAGATCATCAAGTCCAACCCTAAGACTGAGATGTTGGTGGGAGCAAGGGGTGCCCAAATTATTTGGTATAAATTAAATTTAATCATTAATAACAGTTGCAGATTTCAAAAGGAGGGGTGGGTTTTTTAATTCTAAACAAAGTTTTGCCTGCTGAGTGCTGTTCCCTGGGAGGAGATGGCAAGGCTTATTTATTTTATTCCTCAGATGCCTCCAAAGTGGTGACATCACTTATCTGTTAAACAGCAAGTATCTTCTTCGTTATTGGCACAGGTGGCTGCACATCAACATCTTATCAGAAGTGAAAAGTATTGAAAATAAATCCAGTCAAACACTTGAGAAACCCCTCAGTGCACGTTGGGACAGGGAATTTAAACACCTTCCTTGGCTTTGTCCTCCAATTTACTGTAAAGTTGATTTTAAAGCGAGTCTGCTTTGAGTTATGATGAATGGTTTTGAAAAGGTTTTGGGTTTTTTTTTCAGCCAAACCAACAAAGGATTTGGAATTAATTCCCATCATCTAACTTGGCCCTTAATGGATTTTTAAGGTCCACTGCAAAGAATCAATCAATAGGAGGGGGAAAGCTCTGCCTGTAATCCATCCTGCCACGTCCAAGGCTCTGGGCTGAGCAGGGGATTTATGATCACCTGAATTAATTGGAATTATTTGCAGTGATTAACAAAAGCAAAAGAATCATTTGCACTCAGGATACAAACACAGCAACTCAAAAAAAAAAAAAGACCAAAAGTTGGGGTCTTTTGGTATTTAAAGGGTATTTTGTGAGCCTTCCCTCAAGAACTTCAGTGCTGATGCACTGAATATTTTCTTGTCAGGAAACATCTCATTTCAGGCACCACTGTCAGGACAAAGTGACATTTGCAGGTTAATTTTGTGCCTTGCATGACTGCACACGACACTCCTGGAACTGCCAAGAGCGAGGAAATTGAAGCATTTCCACCTATTTCCTCTACTTTTTTTTCCCCTGCTATTGATTTTTTTCTTTAATTGATAACTATTAAAGAAATTTAACATTTTCTTAGCTCAGTTTCAATGTCTTTTTTTCATAAATGATATGAAAGCTGTAATAAACTCAGCCACGTGTGCACAGAGAAGCTGCCACTGACTGAGCTGGGATGAAGATTTTTGGGAATGCCACCAGAAAGGGGTTGGACAAGTAGGAAATGCCTTTTTACAACATTATTGCTCTGGAAAAAAGAACTTTTTTTAAAAACTTTTCAGTTACCAAAAAGAATCAACGAGACATTTTCATGGCACCAATGTAAACGATTGTCCAGAAGAAAATCAGCAAATCTGTAAAATTAAAAACAACAAACCACAAACAAACAAAAACAAACAAACAAGTTGTAAAATAACAATTTGGAGAACTCCTGAGATCAAAAAATATTAATTTGGTTTCCAAATGGAATCCACAGGCTCCTCTCCACTGATTCCATTGCTCCAGGCAAACACAGCATCAAGCTGTTAAAACCCCACGTTAAAACTGGAACCACAAAACTCCCAAAGTCATTTTTTCCCTCTCTGATTCCCCAAAGAGGTGACAAGAACTCCGAACTTTTTAGTGCCAGAACATTTTATGGGAAAATTCATCTTAAAAAAGAGCTGTGCCCTCAAAGATACAGCGAATTCCTGATCTTGAAAGTCCTAGAGAGGGCAAAGAACAACTGGGCCGTGTCCAAGGAATCAAAAAATAACAGCAGCTGTTTCATGTGAGCAATATCCAAAATTTATCTCTTGCAGCAACAATAAAACAGGTTGAAGTGTGGATGGGATTGAGAGAAAGGTCTGAGCTGAGAAATAAAAACCTTCAGGGGAGAGCAGAAAAAAAGGGAATTACTGCAAGACTTGGTTTCCTCTGGAAACTCAGTCGGTGTGTGCAAATATGAGGCTCTGGTTGAGCACCTTGGAGTTGTTTCTGTTATTACTCAAGGATATTGAGGGGAGTTTATTCAATGTACAGGTAAATACCCTCTCCCTGCCTGCTCAGAAACACAAAAGCCTCGCTAGGAGCTCTGGAAACCACCCCTTCCTTTCCTTTCTGCTCGTGCAGCAGCTTTGAGAAAGAAGATTTTTGGCCAAAGTCACCCATTTCTGCAGAAATTTATGAACCAGCTCCTGCTCTGTGAATATTTCCAGCATCTGAATATTCTTTAATTTGCTCCTTTTCTGTGCTGACCTGCATTAATGCTTGCTTGTGAAAATTAATGAAGTGTCTGTGGAGCACAATCAGCCTTTTTGAGAAGAATGAAACCCAAAAAGAGGCTTTTGCTGCGTCCTCTGCATTTTCCCCTCTCCCCATCCAGGCTGCCCCTCCCTCCCTTCCACCCATAATGCACAAAACCCCCAGAATATAGGTGGGTAATACATCAAGAGCACAGTAAACTATTAAACCCCAAAGATGCTTATCAAGCAGGACTAATCCCCCACTCGAGCTCAGTTTATTGATGCTGCAACATTAGTCTAAGAGGGTTTTTTTTGAAAATCACACAACATTTCCCAGGGGGGAGATGAGACAAATCACACTGCAATAAAAATCCATCATATTTTCCTACCTTGGCTGTTCCTGTTCCTCTGCCAGAACTTTCACCCCAATCCTTCAGCAAATAAAAAATCCTCGCATCAGTTTTCACTGAAAGGCTCATACAGCATAAAATTGCACTTGAAAAAGGAAATAAATTGCCTATTTTCCTGCTGTTTGTACTTATCTGCGTGCAGATGATCATTAAAACAGGGATATCCCATAGGGATGTGCCCATGGGCATTCTGGAATGAGCTCTGGAAGGAGCCTGCACACTTCAACCACCACTCCGGTTACTTTGCAGAAGATTAATTGTCTGTGGTGTTTATGTAAATAGGGAAGTGAAGATTCCTGGGCATCCTTATCCATAAATTAAAATCAATGTTTCCTGCAGTTGTGGCTGTAAAGGGGAAATAGAGCCTGACTGGCTGTAATGAGGCATTTGTGTTCTCCATAACTCTAATTTACTGTTACTGCTCCAAGAGCCGGCACCTCTTGTTTAGGCCGTTAAGTGACAATAAGTGCGGCTCCAATAAATCCTAATGAGCACTCCTGGGTCACCTTACTGGATTTATGGGGCACCATCAGCATCATTTGAAACAAGTGGAGTCTTTGGGGCTGCCTGGGACAGGCTGAGGCACAGACTGGACCCTTCAGGACACGCGTAGGGGTGGACACAGCGATCCCAGAGGAGGTTTTGGCAGGGTGACCTCCCCCTGAGCTCTGGCCCCTGGGAAGGGCCATGCAGGGCTATTTGTGAGGTACTTGTGATTTGTGCAGATTATTTTTGTACGTTTTGTAGTAAATGGGATAAAGAGGGAAGAAAAAAAAAAAAAGAGGGGAGAGGGAAAATAACACCCAGAAAAAGGATTAAACTAATATTTTTCAGAATATATTAAGCAAGAAGACACAGGTTTTCTTGATAGCTGCCTTGGGAAAATCATTCCAGTGCTAAAAATCAAACACAAACGCTCTTCTGTCCTGCTGCCTTATTTCCACACACACACACAGTGGATCTTCTCCCAGCACATTTCCCTGAACAAAACAAGTCCAGGCACACACTGTAGAAAGGGCTCCACACTTTGCTGCCAGGAAAATGCTAAACCCATAAGGGACATTTTTAGGAGTCAGACCAGGCTGTGATTCCTCCCCTGCTCTGGAAGAAGAGCAGCTCCTCCTTCCAGCCGTGTCCACGGGGGACACGAGCGCTCCCGGAAGCCCCCGTGGCCCCTCAGAAGCCTCTTGGCACCAGCAGAGCAGCTTTTTGGAAGGGCTTCAACTCCACTAGTTCTCTCCAAAGGCTGAGCTACCTCCTGCCTGCAATTCCCCTTCCAAAAATGTGCTGGGCAGGAGTTAAGGAGGGCATGAGTTGGAGAGGGCAAGGAGGGAAGAGCAGCCCCCACTCAGAGCTAAGGCGTGAGATCCAAAGTCTGATCCGAGTCCTGTTGGCTCCACTGACACAATCCAATCTCCACAGGGAGGGGATGGCAAGCCTTCAGTTTTTGTATTCCCTTACAGTCCATGACAGTTCCCAAAAAACGTGAGGACATTTGGCTTTTCAGTTAAAATAAGGTACTTACATAACATCACTGCTTTTCAGGCTGCTGGGCCTGGTCCCCCCTTCAGGACCTTATCACTGTGATCCAGATTTCTTTATCCTTTGTATCTCATTCCAAGGGAGCTGGGCAGGGTTTCAATCCAGGACCAGAGTGTTTCCACAGAAAAGCTCCCCCAGCCCCATTATGTGTCTCAGCACAGGGCATGTGGTGCAGATCATTGTCCTGCTGCCCTCCTTCATCTTCCTGACGTATAAAATAGAAAAATGCTTCCATTTTTAACCTATTTTTGAGGAAAATAAAAGCCTGACCTCTCTATAGTGCCTAAAGACTAATCTTGAAATCATGAAAAAGACTTCTATCATGAGAAACACCCTTAATTCTTCAGTTGCTAATATTACACAGTGAAAGGCTCTCACCACAGGAACCTCCCTTATGGAATGTGCTCTCCTATTTATTAAAAATACTATTATCACTACTGCCTATTTATTTAATGCTTTTCCTCTTCAAAGCACTTTTTAGGCATTAGCTAATTAATGTAATGACTTCTGATGTTTCAAGTGTTCCTCTCCTCGTCAGAGCTGGAGAGAGGGCAGGGAAAGGAGCTGGGATTTGCCCAACCCTGGGCTCTCTGCAGCACCTCCAGCCTCTCCAGAGGCTGAGGGTGGGTTTTTTTTGGCCCCTGGACACCTGTGTGGTGCAGCAGAGGGAAGGGAGTGCTGAGCAGCTCTTGGATGTGCAGCACTTTGGGTTAAAAAGCAGGGCTCCCAAACACAGAGCTCAGCACAGCCCAGCTAATGAGACCCCTTGGAAAACCACCCCCACCTGGGCTGCTCATAACAAGGTGACATTTATGAAACTAATAACTTAATAACTCCATTAAGCTTTACTGCAATCCCTCAGACACTGGCCCTGCAATGCATTCACTCACCAAAGCTATCAGAGGCATTTAAATATCATTAAACCATGAGGAACGAGCTCCTTCCCCTGCCCTGGGGAAGCTGCCTCAGCCTCCATCACAGCAGGAACCTTCCCCCTTTTTCCCTAAAACCTTCTGCTGCTCCCATGGCCCAGGGACAGTCTGGAGAGCCCACCAAGATCCCAGAAAACGAGCTCCATCCCAGAGATGGAGCCAGGAAAGCTGTGCAGAAACCACACAGACACACCTGCCAGGGAGGGGACACCCGTGCAGCACCAGGAGCCAGGCAAGGCAAGGCATTTTAAGTGTATTTTACACACAGATGGCACCTCCAAAACCCTCCTTATCAAAGAGTGTTCAGTGTCATAGGAAAATTTTCAGTCAGCACCCAAACCTGCCTAAAGTTCTTGCTTTAAAACCAACCCCAACACAAACCAGCCCCATGGCACCAGGTCTGGGGACAATTTAACATTGTGTGTGCAAAGGAAAGGCTTTTTCCAGCTTACCTTAATGCTGGAAAAGGTGATATTTTGTAAACAGTTTTACTCCTCTGCAAGTCTATTTTTCTGAATGGGAGATATAAAATAAAATGAGGCACTTCTAGCACATAACTGTTTAAAATCATCTCTTTTTCCTACTCCTGGCTGGAAGCAGCAACCCAAGGGAAAAACCTGCCTTTCCAAAGAGCAACCCTGAACTGCTTGGAGCATCCCCATGCTTGGGAAAAACCCAAGGCATTTCTGCTCAAAATGTGTGTTTCTAGGTTACTTCCACTCTCCAGGTTTCAAAGAGCAACATTTTTATTTCTTCAAAACCTCTTATTTAGGGGATGTTTCAAAAATTTTTTTTATTGTTTCTTCCAATCTCTTATTTGCTTTTTGCCCTCACTAAAACTTTACTTGCAGAGCAGGAGGGCAAAGCAACAGCACAGTATATCTGTATAAAATGTGCAAGTGTTCTCACCTACCTCTGCATCATTAACAATAATTAACTGAATATGGCACCACTGCTCTGCAAGATGCCCCTGCAGACCCTCTTCTAACACCTCATTTTTGCATGGAACTCAGTCAGATGAACATCCAAGTTACTCTTTTAAACCTGTATCAACACTTTTTTGCTCAATGATTTGAACAGTGTATTCCTGGTCTGTGAATACTTTTGGCTCCTCCACAACACCAGTGGCACAGAAATCACCATTTTTAGGCCTTTGTGAGTGCCTTAATGAACAAGCACTGCCATGAAATGCAGAACATGCCAGACCAGCAAAGAGCCACTCAGCTCATCAGGGATGCTCTGAAGTCCATTGTTACCATTTCCAACTGAAATGAAGCAAAGCCAGACTGCACCAATCCAGGGAAAGCCCCAACCAGGTGAGAAATCAGATCATGCAGCAAAACTCTGCTTTGATGACTGACTCATGGGGTTCTGCGTGTCCTTGCACAGCCACAGGGGGACTCCAGGATGGGAAATGTCTCCTCATTCCCTACATTTCAGGAAGGTTGGATCCTGCTCAGGCTCCTCAGTGTCACCTCAGAGACATGGGAATCCAGGAGTTAACAGAGTGCACAGGATTCCTGTGTCACTGCCCCCCCAGGGGTAGGATTTAGGGAGCTGCCAACCCCACAGGGGACACCTGTTGGGCCCAAACCTCCCGGAGGGATGGGGTGAGCAGCTGGAGCAGCTGGGGCAGCAGATGCCCTGCAGCTCCCAGGATGGTGTCCTCTCCCCGAATCCCAAAATCCACACTGTCCTTGGGAGTTTCAAAGCACAATCTGCTGAGGAAAGGCCACAACATTTTCCCCGGGGGCAGGAGGCCCTTCTCCCAGAAACTGCTGAGCTAACTAATTGCTAATTGCTCCCTGCTCATTACCACTGAAGATGGATGAAAGCTATGGAGATAAACCACATCATTAAAGCAAGAGGTTGTGGAAACCAGGCTACACAAATCCTGGTTTATAACCAGATATTTGAAAATACACCCAAAAAGAGTTTTTCCTCACTGTAAGAAGCACATGGGAAGTTTGCCTAATGGATTATCATGGATAATCCCTCATCCCCCAAAAGTATCTTCAGCTCTTGGTCACCAGAACCATGGGTTCACCCAAACTCTTCGGGAATCACTTTGCTCTGGTTACAAAGCAAAAAAACAGATGGGGAAAAAAAACAACTCCAAAGTCCCTCCTAGGCAGAGAAAAGGAGAAATTCTCTCCCAAGGAAATGGTGAGCCAAGATGCAGCTCCTGGATCCTCCCCACACCCCAAGGAATGGGGTGTGACAGGGCAGAGCCAGCACCTGGATGAACATCTGGAGTCATTCCCTGCACCTGAACGTACGGGAAGGGACAGGCTGGGAAAGAGGTGGTGCAGGTGAGGAAGGCTCCAGCTGACCGTCCTGCTCCAGAGTTTCCCTCCAGGTCTTTTATCCCTGCTGGAAGAACATGAGACAGTGTTTTCCTCCATCTCAGTAAAGAACATTCAGCTCTGCCTCAAACCCATGTGCCACCTCCCTCCCAACGCCGATACCGATCTAAATATATTTAAATTGAACAATAATATAATTAAGCCTCTTTCTTGTCTTCAGTGTTTGTATTCCGAGGCTTTTAGAGGAAATTTCGAGATCTATCAAAGTATCTGGAAATGTACTAATTATTTCCATGATGACACGATCCCAAGTGGCAGAGTAAACATAATTACCCATATTAAATAGAAAACAAAATCAGCAACACTTCAAGGCTCTGTGGGCTTCAGATAGCAAATATTGTCACAGTCAATCATGCCCCACAAAAGGCCATTTATTGTTCTTGTCAGTAAAACTGCACCCATTTCACCAGGAATCTCAGTGACCTGGTGTCTCTCTGGCATCTCTGTTAGTGGGAAAAGCTCAGTGGGAGTGAAAAGCCCCCCGATTTTAAACTCAGATTATCCTGACTTGGTTGTGCCCTGCTTTGAAACCCTGCAGCTGAGTTTTCTTTTCTTAACTTTTCAAGCGAGTTCTGGGTGTCAGAAACCTCGGGTATGGTTGTTAAACAGCTAAGAAAGAAAGCGAAAGGATTTCACTTTCGGCTGAAAATCCCCCTTTTCAGGCAGCTGAAGGGATATCGTTGGATCTTTTGTTACTTTGCTGAGCCTGTAAAGGTTTGCCTTTAAAAAAAAACCAACAAAAAGAACACCAAAATATGCAGACTCATGCTTGAAATAAGATGCCCTCCCCTTTGCTCTCTGCAGGAGCCCTCACGTGCTGCAGGAGTGTTTTACCTCTGGCTTTGAAGGGCTGGGAGCTTTCCCTTCCATTCAGGGAGCCCCTCCTGGGGCTGCAGCAGCTTTGTTTCCCAGTCCTGCCTCTCAGCAATGTCACGGGGATGAAAGTTCAGGGGAAGGAAAATTCCCGTGTGCTGGAGCAGCACGACAGCACCATCCCACCATGGGGGGAAAGGAAGGAAGGATGGAGCATCCCCTCTGCTCAGCAGGAGCTGCTGCCACTGACACACAGATATCCCACTGAGAACCCTGACAGAACATTCCCTTCAGTCTTAGAATAAATGACAGGGATAAAAAGCCAAGGACAAACCCAAAGGCAGGCAGGACCTGCTGGAGGAGAACCTGACCCACCTGCTGAGGTTCCATCACCACAAAGCTGCACTGGGGGCTCCTAAGGACACAGAGCTGCCCCTAAAAAATAGGAATTTGCTCTTTTGCTTCTAATATCCTGCACTTTCAACAAAATCCACCATCACAACTTTCCCCCTTTGGTATGGGAAGGGTTGGATGCCATCGGAGCCAGTGGGACACCACACACCACCTTTAACCTCTCGCTGCTTCCCGAGGGCCTGAGCCAACACAGGAGTTGTTGTCTCACCCCCTTCCAGCATCCCTTATCTGCCTTGTTCCTGAAGGCAAAATCCAATTAGAAATTTAAATAATAATTAAATGGAAGCCTTGTAAATCTCGATTCTCATATCCCACAATTCTCACCTTCCCCCCCGTGTCTCCCTGCTAAGCTTGCCCTGCCACAGCTTCTCCTTGCAGCTACCTCGGCTTTAGCGTTAGGTGATGAAGCATAAAATGCTATTTAAATACTATAATTTCAAGAGCAAGCAAAGAACATCCCATTTATCTTCACTAACCTTGAATATGCCTGTCCCATCTAATGAAAAAAGTGATTGAAGGGACTTATTTCAGCTCACCATCCCAAGGCCCCCATAAAAGCTGAATGGTAATTTAATTAGTTTCCTTTCTGGTGATTAACTAGGAATTTCTGATCATTTAATCTGAGTGCACTTTGATTCATTAAGTATCTGTTTCCATTTTTTTATGAGGTGATTAAATAA